GATACATTTTAGACACTAACTCACCAAAATGATTAATTGTTTATTTACTGTATCTATTACAGTTTTATTCACAATATGGTTCATTTAGAAAAGGTTTACACTGTGATTCTACTGCTATAGGGTCAGTGTCTGTGTCATAAAGTGATCTTCAATATTATTGTTCAGTCTAATATTTTCTGATAGGTCATAGAAAGGCATTAGACCCAATAGTCACATGATAACATTGGCTGTAGAAATGTAAACATATTTCAGATGTAGATTTCATGTGATTATAAATATTTTGTAGTAAACAAGAGAGTTTTGGAGAAATGCTTCACATTTGAACTGCAGCAAGTCCACAGATTTCTTAGGGGTGGGTGATACTGACAAAAAATTATGATAAGAATTAGACCATATGTTTTGCAGTCCTCAAACTTAACACCAAGTACCACCAATGAAAATATATGGCTTTGTGAGTACCACCAGATCTAAAAGAAAATCTATAACAAACATTTGTAGCTCTAAACAAGGACTGAACTAGATCTGAAACAGGACTACACCATTACTACAGTTCCAAAACAGAAACTTACTAAGAGGAGGACAAAAACACTTCAATATACAAACAGTAGAACTGAAGAGGTCTCTGTGTATCACCAGAACTACACTTCTACACGAGAAGCACTGTGCTAAAACATGACTGTAAATGTTGTGGTGCAGGTTCAAGTATCACACAAAAGTGAGTGGACCATCAAATACAAAAAGATCACTTGTTTAAATGACTGTACTGTAAGCATCTTTATTTTGAATCAGTTCTTTTGGCACTATTGTTTTTATAATATATCTGATTGGTCTGTACAGTTGGTCCTCTGACTGGCTGAGAGCTGGAGACACTTGTCACAGTGAGGGACACGAGGACACTGGACAAACTGCTCTTCATCATGGACACTCCTGCTCACCCACTGCACCAGACTACAGAAGGACAAATAATACTCCCTACAACTGTACAACAACTCACCCACTGCACCGGGCTATAGAGAGACAGATAATACTCCCTACAACTGTATAACAACTAATGTCATATGTCACTCTCTTTAGAACTTTAGGCAGAGCTCTGAACATACACGAAGTGTCACAAAGATAAATGCATTTTGTAGAAATCGTATGGATTTGTGTAGGCCTGTCACAATAATGACTGAAGTGACAAACTGTTCAGAGATTCATTTTAGTATTTAGGGCTTAATATTTGTATGTAATATTTGAGTAAGTATTTGAGCAAGTGTTCTTATTTTTGTAGTGTGTTAGCTGTAGAGTGTCAAATTATTTTAGTGTGACATTTGTTCTTACAGTGAGTCTGAAGGAGCAGGTTCAGGGCTGAAGAATGGAGGTTCATCTTTAGACCAGTCACTCTTCATGGACACAGCACTGGACACTGGGGCTGTGGATCTGTGTGTGGAGAGAAAACATCATGTGTTGTTACTTAGAAGACTTTGTTACTGTCAGCTTAGATCAGTCTGACAAAGGCACATGTAACACGACCCTTTTTATTGGATCAATAAGACAAAACAGCAGCAGCATGACTGTGGGCTGCCTCTCATGTCTTTATATTTCTCTACTCCACAGAAGTGACAGTTTTATGACATGAAAAAACAGGGCAGGGCAACGTCTTAGGAACAAACCTACCTCTTTTAATGGAAATGAACAACAGGTGCACTAGAGCAACAACAATGAGTCAACCCCTAAAACACGACTGGTTTTACATGTGGTGGTCATTTCAAGTTTCTCCCTCTTGGTGTTTTTTGGCTGCTTTTCCACTAGTGCTGCTTTGGCTAGAGCGATTATCACTACTGGGAGTCTGAGGTCATTCCTTAGCCCTACAGAAGTTGTCCAACTTCTCCAGGATGCCACATCCAAATGTGCTGTTGCAAGGAGTTTTAATGTGCCTCCCAGCACAATTTCCAGAACATGGAGGAGATTTCAGGAGACAGACAGTTATTCTAGGAGCACTGGACAGGGCTGAAGAAGGTCCTCAGCCCATCAACAGAATGAATATTTGCTCCTTTGTGCAGGAGAAACAAGTTAATCACTGCCCGTGTCCTGCAGAATGATCTTCAGGAGGCCACTGGTGTGAATGTCCAGACAAACAATCAGAAACAGACTTCATGAAGATGATGGAGGCACCACGTCCTGCAGTGGGCCCTGTGCTCACTGCGCAGCACCGTGGAGCTCAAATGGCATTTGCTAGATGACAGAGATGAGAGCAGGTTCACCATGAGCTCCTGTGAAAGACGTGAAAGAATCTGGAGAAGACAAGGAGAAAGAGTCTGGAGAAGACAAGGACGAGAGCACTCTGCTACCTGCAACATGGTTCAGCATGAGCGGTTTGGTGGTGGGTCAGTGATATTCTGGGCGGGCATATCTATGGAGAGATGCACAGACCTCTACTGGCTAGAAAACAGCAGTCTGATGCCATTAGGTATCAGGATGAACCCTTTGTCAGACCCTACAATGATGCAGTAGGTCCTGGGTTCCTCCTGATGCACAACAATGTCTGGCCTCAGGTGGTGAGAGTCTGCAGGCAGAACCTGGAGGATGAAGGCATTGATACAGTTGAATGGCCCTCACGATCACCTGACTTAAACATAATAGAACACCTTTGGGTGTTTGGGTCCATCAAATACTGTCAGGTTGTTCCTCAGACGCTACAGGAGCTCAGTGACGTCCTCACTCAGATCTGGGAGGACATTCCACAAGACTCCATCTGTCATCTCATTACGAGCAAACCACGACTTTGTCAAACATGCAGACAAGCACGTGGGGACCACACAAGATACTGAGAAAGATTTTGAGATGCAGAAATTACATTTTGTCAAAATGGACGAGCCTGTCACATCATTATTTCACTTTGATTTTCAGGGGTGTAAAATGAAGCCCTCTGTGGGCTGAAAATGTAATCTCCATTAAAAGAGGTGGGATCCTTTTGTTACCTTGTCCATATTTGTAGAGATATCCAGCTTTATTTTTTTTTACTTTAAGATCTGCTGTGTTTACTGAGTTTTGTAAAGTAGTATATTTTAGTTTGACCCTGTTTGACTAGTAAATGAAGGCCTGAGAGTTTTTAAAAAATACATACTGTTATTTATGATTTTCTATTTTCATTATTATTCACGCTAATATTATATTATTGTACTTCTGTTGTTATTTCACACATAATTAAAAAAGTTTGTCTCCACTGTTGTGTGAGTGTAATTGTTCTGTGATGTGTGCCTCTATTGGACTGTGTAAATACTAACACTAAACTCTGTAAACAGTGTAAATAAATATATGTCTACTGCTATATTGGATCCTATTTTAGTTTTAGGCACTGTCCCCAAAATAAATCAGTACATAAGATGATGGGGTTTAACAGTGAATGACAAATGACTGGACTCACTTTGTCCCAGAGAGATCCGGCTCAGCGCTGCCCCCTGGAGGTTCTTTTCTGGTGGGACGTCCTTTTATCTGCTGATTCCCTGAAGCCATTTCCCCGCTCGCACCAACTGGAGGAGAAACCACAGAGAGACATGTTTCACTCTTTACATTTGAGCTCTGCTGCATTTGAAACAAGGCTTTAGTCATTTTAACTCTCTCAGGCTCAAATTAAATTTTAGTAACAGGAAAAAATCAGATATTTGGGGAAAATGATCATATGGGGTAGTAATATACAATCCTGACTTTTTTTTGAGAGAGACTTTCACATCCAATGTGTTCTGAGATGTTGAAGATTTGCAGCATTGGTCCGGTGTGGTAAATTAACACTGAAGACTGAAAATGATATGAACGCTAACTTTATGTGTATACCACTTTTCATAACAATGAAAACATAAAGCACAGTGTAACAGCTTTACAGTGGCAGAACAACATCACTTTTTTGTGTGGTTCTCCAAGAAACAATTTTTATCCTTTGTAAACAACAAAAGTACTTTGCACTTCTGGCAGGTCGTTTGCGTGTAACCATTCTTGCACAGTCTGCATCGCCCACATTTATCAGCATGGATGGAAAAAAAGGTTCCTGGATTTAAAAAAGCTAATAAAATATGGATTTGGAGTAAGTAGGTAACTGGCATTTAGTTGTTGCAAATCTGCAACGCCTCCCTGGAGAGGGTTAACACCACTTCTACTAAAGTGACAGTAGCACTGCTCACAATAGTTCTAAGTGAGTAAGTCAAAGTGAGTATTAGTAGTACTTAAGCCTGTAACGATATCACATTATATTGATATATTTATACAGAGAAATAGCATGATAAACAATGATCCTGAAATTACTTTATACCACTGATAAAAACAAACAAACAATAAAGCTGGATAATCCCAGTGAACCATTTTAAAAACAGAAATAGCATTATTTAAAGGCAGAGAACCAAAAACTCACCTCGGTTCAGAATATGCTTTCACTTTGAGCACATACCTCAGTCACGTGACCTGCCTCTGGAACGTGAACAGGTAAAACGACTGGGCGCACCCACAAAACACTGATTTAATACCTCTGCTTGTGATAATGAACTGAAGCTCTATAATTATTTAGGTTTGTACAACTGCTGTGAAGAGGGACATAAAAGTCACATTTGAGCTCAGTCGGAAACTAAATATGACATTCAGTAAATACTCATATTAATATACTATACTAGTACAGTTTATCATTATTAAAATTCATATAAATTGCTTAAACCAAAGCTATATTTGGTACTTTGGATTAAAGACTTAAAATGACTTGTAGCTCACAGCAGACGACAGTGACTCGAGACTCGACTTGGACTTGCCTGTGTTTGACTTGGGACTTGACTCGGCCTTGAGGTCAAACACTTGAGAGTTAAAAAACAACGACTTGGTCCCACCTCTGATAGACAGACTAATAATAACAAGGATTTCGCAAACGTGTGAATGAAACAAAACACAACTCCAAGTATTTTTTAATCGTCTTATTGTCTTAATTTTAATTCTAGGGCTTTTATTTTGAAGGCGCGATGACCGTCCGACCGGAAAACATATGTTTCACTTCCCCCGTGTGTTTTTGCTCCAGCTGCAGCGGCTCCACACGCACCGAGAGCAGCTCCACAAACGCGCCCGTCCTCCGTCTGAGCCCCCGCCGCCTCTGCACCGCACACAAACATGGTAACACTCCTTTATTTACACGTTTGTCGACGCTAAAGTCTTTGTTTTGGTCGCGTTTGCCCCACGTAATTCATTGAAGCTAACGTGCTAATGCTAACGCTGGGGGAAGGTGACTGTAAGAAGTATCCTCTGATCTTACTCAAAGAAATGCTCCGATCTCTTATAAAAATGTCTTATTCAGTGAAGTATTCCTGATTTGTGCTAATAAAATAACTTATTTAGAAGTTACAGTATTCAGATCAGGTGAGTAATACTCCCTCTGTTTGATATTTTCTGTGCCGAGAAATGAACCAGTCTAACAAGCTTACATTTACTATTGTTGTGTTGTTCATAGTCTTATCTAAGCTTTTAACACTGTTGGGCAAGTTACTTTAAAACTGTAATGTGTTTTTTATGACTCGTTACTGTCATTTCAAAGTAATTAGTTACATTACAATATTACTGTGTTTAAAATGTAAGATATTACACGAGTATTGCAGCACTTTTAAGTTACTAACCACCAAAATAACTGTGAAGATGCTGAACTTTTGCGCCGTATATGGACTGAACCGAGGACTGAACCGAGGACTGAACCGAGGACTGAACCGAGGACTGAACCGAGGACTGAACCGAGGACTTAAACGGGACTAAAACAGGACTAAAACAACACATTTAAACAACGCATTCTCAGGGGCCTGTGATCAATCAGCTTGTCTTGATGAATATTATGTCGACTTATCGTTCAATAAATCAAACATGAAAAGCGTTGATTCCACTTATTAGCAAGAAAATAAAAGGTTTGAGATTGTGGCACAGTGTCAGTTTAATTTCAGTGTTCTTAAATGGAAGAAGACCATACTGGTTATGAGTGTAAGTGTAAGGGATATTAAATGACTCTTCTTATCTTTCAGTCGCACACAATCCTGCTCGTCCAGCCGACCAAGAGACCGGAGGGCCGCACATATGCTGATTATGAGTCTGTCAATGAATGCATGGAAGGTAACATTTCTATTGAATCTATCTATCGATCTATCGTTCTATCTGTCTTTAATTTAACATGCCTTTTGTAGGTGTCTGCAAAATGTATGAGGAGCATCTGAAGAGGATGAACCCCAACAGTCCATCCATCACATATGACATCAGTCAGCTCTTTGACTTCATTGACGACTTGGCAGACCTGAGCTGTCTTGTGTAAGTATTTTTTTATTTTACTTAACAAGAAAGTCCCATTGATTTTCAGATTGTCTTTTATGAGAGGGACGTGACCAGAATGACATTTGAAAATATGAACTTTGATTAATTAGTACAGTAAATTATGCATAACATACTGACACATTTTTCATATTTATTATTAGCTTGCCGGTGCAAATATTATGCACTCCAAAAATGAAATCCATCTTCTACTAATACAATTTTAGGTGAGATGAATGATTTTTGGTGGCTGTCAGCCTCCCTGTCAGAGATGGTTTTCTATCAGACTGGTACAGTGTTGGGAAGGTTACTTTTAAAATGTATTCCCCTACAGATTACATACACCAAAATATAGTTTGTAACATAATCCATTCAATTACTTAAATTGAGTAACGTAATCTGAATACTTTGGATTACTTGATTTGCTGTAGAGAAGCAAAGACGAGGATATCTTCACATAAGATGTTTTGTCTGTTAAAAGAAAATAAAAAGCCCGGTCTTTACTTAACCAAATTAAAAATATTATTGATAGAAGAGGAGGAGACACGTCTACGCAGCATGATTTAGTCCTGTTTTAGTCCTGTTTTAGTCCTGGTTTAGAGCTAGTTTAGACCTGGTTTTGGACCTGGTTTTGGACCTGGTTTTGGACTTGGTTTTAGACTTGGTTTTAGACTTGGTTTTAGACTTGGTTTTAGACTTGGTTTTGGACCTGGTTTTAGACCTGCTTTAGACCTGGTTTTAGACTTGGTTTTAGACTTGGTTTTAGACTTGGTTTTGGACCTGGTTTTGAACCTGGTTTAGACCTGGTTTAGTGTCTGGCAATGAGTGGAATTCCTGGGAAAAAAGGGATATAGCCCAAAATGTGAAAACAGGAAAATACTGCTGTGTAATCAGTAGTATTTCAGCAAAGTAACTCTAATCCAATTACTACTACTCATTGAAACAGTAACTGTAACCGAATACAGTTACTCATAATTTGTACTCTGATTACGTAACTCCGGTACATGTAATCTGTTACTCCCCAACACTGGACTGGTAGGGGGCAGAATGGGGCCAGTTTGGCCAGTCCACTCTCTAGATCAGGGGTGTCAAACTCATTTTCACCAAGGGCCATATTTGGATCATGTTTGTCGTCAAAGGGCCGGTTGTAAAGTTAAGACTGTAACTGTAACTGTAATATTGATATGTTACAAAACTGTAGAAGTCTGTATTTGATTTTTCATTTCATATTCATTCATTTTGTTTATTTTTATGTTTTTTACCTTTTAATTTTTTACTGGTATTCTTGCTCTTATTTGATTTTACTAGTTTTATTGTTTTAATGAGGACTAGTAGAGTTAAGTAGAACTTTACATTATATTTATGTTTTATCTGTATTGTGCAGCACTTGAGAAAATGTTTGTTTTATGAAATGTGCTCTAGAAATAAAGTGGATTGGATTTGATTTAAAGGTTTCAGTTAAAAAATTCACATTACTCCTTCAGTGACATTCATGAAATAGCTGTCCTTCTCCATAATTTTTTCTTTTGTTGGACATTTTTGGGGAAATTTGATGAGTTTTCTCGGCCTCTAGTGGCGAGATGCAGTCACTTCATGGGAAACGACTGCGGTGCATTGTGGGAGATGTAGTAGCGGCACAGAGTCACAACATCATAATAAATTATACCTTTTAACCCCTTGTGGGCCACATAAAATTGCTTGGCGGGCTGTATGTGGCTCACTGGCCTTGGCCTTGCCACATGTGCTCTAGAGTGACCTGGGTACCTCACTGGAGGAGGTAGTCCTTTGGTTCTTTTCCAACACACGGGTTTAGGAACGCTTTAGAAAAAATGGATATGACCCGCTGTGTAATAATGGAAAAATAGAACACACAATTGGGTGAAAATAACAAATCCAACAGAATATCATTGTTTCACTCCTGATACACAAATATATTTTCCCATTGATGACAACCTAAATGTTGAGAGGCAGGGTTTGTATTCTTTTGAGCGTACATGCTTGGTAAAACAAGGCTAAAACAGCTGTTTCTGAATGTTTATATGTATAAAGAACCAGCTTTACAACATTTGTGTCAATGTAGAACTTCACACTTGCTGTTCATATAAAAAGATTAAAATGTGGCTTAGAGGCACAGAAAGGTAAAATAAATAATAATAATAATAATACATTTTATTTATTAGGCGCCTTTCTGGACTCTCAAGATCACCTTACAACAACATAAACAATTTAAATACTATTAAAAGCATACAGTTAAAGTGGGATTTTAATTGATTGTGCAAATGCAAAAGATAATACAGGAAACTGCGTCCAGTTTGTGATTTTTCTTGAATGTTTTTATTTTATTTATGTGTTTATGTTACAGGTACAGAGCTGATACACAGACATACCAGCCATACAACAAAGACTGGATTAAAGAGAAGATATATGTCCTACTGCGTCGCCAAGCTCAGCAGGCAGCCAAGTGAAGCAGAGCCATGGGAGGGACTGTCTCAAGGGGGGAGGTTTACTAATATATTTTTATTTGTAAGTTTTTTTTGACAGTGTGCTTGCATACGGTTGTTACGTAAAGATTATTTGAGCCTGAGCATTTCTGGTAGTTATTCCCTGGAAGAAAAAAATCTATATGCTCCTTTCATTGAATTCCATTTTATTTTTTGCTCATTCTTTTAATGTGAAACACTTTCATTTGTACTGGACAGGATTATTGAATGCACATTGCTGATTTTTACACGGGGACACTGGCAACATACTCTCCATCCCTTTTGTCTTTTTGTTATTGACCCTCCAGTGACCATGATATGACTATTTTGTAAAGCATTTGTTTTGTAACATGTAATTCTCCTGTTCATGTCCTTTTGAAATAAAGTCTTGTTTTCAGAGAGGTACTGGAAGCGTAGAGCTAATTTCATGTTTTATACTAATATATGCTATTAACATTTCAAATGGTTTTCAGATTTATACACGACATGTGAGTTGGAATATTTGTTGTCTATCTGTGTAATTTTATGTCAAATGTGTAGTTCTCTGTTTGAAAGCACAGTTTTAGTTTGATTTTACCATTGACTATATTATATGGATGCATCATGGTTTGGGAAAATACTGTAATACTGCACAATATTGGAAAATTTGGCAATATGCTTTGTGACTTTCAAGAACTGCTAAATTGATATTTAAATATTTTAATATACTTTTTGACTCAGTAATTTCAGTTAAAGATATTATAAAGTAAAAAACCTACATGCTTTCATTTACAAGTGAATTTGATTTTGGACTTTTGACAATTTTGAAAAAATCTGCTTTGTTCAACAACAAAAAACAACCTTTATTATTGTGATATATTGAGTAATACATCAGTCAATATGATATCGATACATTTGCAACGAATTGTGCGGCCCTAAAAATAATCACGTCCAAGAATGTTTCATGATAAAAAACTAAAATTATTGTAAACAAAAACATTATAAATATCAGAATGGAGGCAGCTAGAGGCAAAAGTGAAGTGGAACTTAATGTGATTTTATTAGAGAAATTGAGATTAATTTGAGAATATCACAAATTATGAAAAATCTAAATAAAATTTGGAAAAAGAAAAGCAGTCAGATACATGTAAGGATTTATCAGAGCCCAGTTTAAAAACATTTATATTTATGTATTACATTATTTGTTTAATTGACAAGTGATTATGATAGACACTATGCATTTTTAGGAAAAGGAAAAACTTACTGGACCAGGTCTTACTGGTCTAAAGCTTTTCTGTATTTTACCTAAATAAATGACAATTTATGCCTCTTTACCACTGGCACGTTTCAGATTGGTCCAAAATAAGGACACCTGGGACATTTCTCTTATTAAACTTGGACAAATCATTGGTTTTGGATAAATCTGCCGGGGCAGGGGACACAGGGTTCAAACCTGAGACTGTCTCAGGTAAACAGGGACATGTGGTCACCCTAAACCTGAGAACTCACTGTATTACATAAGGTGACCAGATTTTGAAAATCAAAAAACTGGGTCATCTCTGGTTTTTGGAGGTTGATAATAATAAATTTGTGAAATGAGTGCGTTATTAAGGCACTCGGTCCATTCATGATTAACATGAGAGTCAGTATAGTCACATTTTCTTTGTTTTTAAGCAGCTTTTCCGTATTTTATCTGAGGTGCAATTTATGCCTCTTTTAACTGTTGGCAGGTATCAAATTGATCAAAATTAGGGACATCTGGGACATTTCTTGTATAAAACTGGAACAAATCAGTGGTTTTGGATAAATTTGCTGAGACAGAGGACACAGGGCTCAAAACTGGAACTGTCCTGGGTTAATATGGACGTCTGGTCACCCAACCTACACCTTATTTTAATAGATCCATGACCTACACTGTGAGTCTTCTGTAAACACAGTATTTTCCTTGTCTCTGTCTCTTTAAAAGTGTCGATCCGCCCTGCGCTTGTTGCAGAGACTATGGCGTGTGCGTAAACTTCGCACTAAGTTAACACGGGGGAGACTCGGGATGACGGACACGCGGCTGAGAGTCAAAGTGTTCACCAGGGGCCAGGACCGGCTGTGGGAGGACCGCGGCATCGGGCACGTCTCGTCGGGCTGCGTGGAGGGACTGAGGGGCATGTCTCTGCTGGTGCGAGCGGAGAGCGACGGTGAGTGGACAGAGGAGAGACCAGACCAAAATATATATATGATACCAGATTATTTGCTATTCGCTCAACCCAAAACACACTGCGGTTGAATTGGTTTGATAATGGATTTTCGACACATTCAAAGACACTGAACTTGTAATACATACTTGTCACGTCTTCATAATCATCCAAAGTATACATCACAAGACAGTAATTATTAAAAAATCAGACTATGAGCTGATTTATTGTGTGAAATCAACACTCATTTAACTTTTGATGTACAGATGTGGACAAAATTGTTGGTGCCCCTCTGGGAAGGAAAGAAAAATCAACAATGATCAGCGGTAAATTTATTTTATTTTTTTAATAATTACTGTCTTATTGTGATATATACCCTGGATGATTATGAAGACATCACAAGTTGTTTGAAAAGAAGCGGTGATATACATCATAAGGTGTCGATCAATGAGCAATGAATGAACCAGGACTAAACCAGGATTAAACCATGCCCCGCAGTCTCCTTCCGTACGCCGCGTGCACCGTGCCTCCTTTGCAACCACTCCATGAAAATACTGTCCTGAAAAGAGCGCCGCCACAACTTAATAATAATAATTACCTCATGTGTCGGAAGGGCAGAATGTTGGGAAAAAAAACTAAAGTGCCGCCACTCCGACCAAGGAAAAAAAAAATGTCGGAATGCAGGGACTTTTGATAAAAAATGGAAATGGAAATCCTGGTAACCCTTGCTTGTCTCCATGAATATGTTATTGCAATGCCTGGAATTTTACACAGTACGGCATTAAACTTGTATATTTTATGTTTCTTTTATGTTTTATGCTACACAATGCTTTGATAAACTTGCAGTGAGAAGCACATCTCCACAGATCTGTCCTGTAATTTTGCCTGATGGCTTCACATGTTTAATGCGTAGACAATTATTCAATGCAAAGTTAATTGGACCCAGAGTCGATGGAGCCGGAAGCGTGTCCATGTGCACTTGTACGCACACATATTTGTCATTTCTATATTTTATGCCATACTTTTTAAGAAACAAGCGCAATCAGAGACAGCAACCTGGTCCCCATGAGGCATCGGTGGGTCAGTTCATCACCACAGAAGCAGTTTATGAGCAGCCCAGCTCATATTACATGATTGTTATACCCACAATGCAATGTGTGTTTCTCTACAGGCCCATGAACATTTGTGTGATCTTGGTCACACATGAGGATGTCTGTGTTTACTAGCGTCTAACCAAAATGTAATTTTTCATGAGTTGTGTGTATGTTATTTGTGTGACTGTAGAGCAGTGTGTTGTGTATCACCAGAAAAAGAAGAAATGGAATTTAACATCATACACTGAAAGAAAAAGGAACTGTTATAATTAGTGATTATCTTGAAAACTTAATATTTTACTATACAAATGCAGAGAATTATAAATAGATAATAATTTTTCTGAGATTTTGAGACCACTCCCGTTGCTCCCGCTCAGGCATGTCCAAACTATGGCCCGTGGGCCAAATGCGACTCTCAGACAAGTTTTTCTTGGCCCTCAAGCTTCCATGTGAAATGGCCCAAAATTACCTTGCATCAATGAAAAATTTACTTTTTATTGCAAGTTTTTTGAAAATCTACCTTGATAAAGCCAATATTTAATGTTTAGTGTGTGGTTTTGAGAATCTTAGCATGAATAAAGGACTGATGGTTCATTTTAATGTTTTAAACATGCACATATTTCAATTATTCACTGTATTTAGCATCAGTTTACGGCCCTCGATCGGCCCTCTGCTTCTTATGTGTTTAGATATGTGGCCCTTGATGAAAAAAGTTTGGATACCCCTGCTCTCGCTCGATCCTTTGCGGAGTTATGACCAAAAATGCCTATTTGACCTTGGTTACCTTGACTGGTTTCAACCTGTAACATCCAGTGTACCCCGGTTATGTGTGTGCCAACTTGTGTGATGATTTTGTGAATATTTTAGGCCGCAGATGGTTCAGAAATTGCCAATCCTTTATAATGGCGTGACCTTTCAATTGACCCCTGTGACCTCAAATGATCTCGGAGCATCCCCAAACTTTATTTGTGTACCAAATTTGGTGAAAATTGATCCATAAATGTCGGAATTATCGTGGGTGGGCACACACACAGACACACAGGGTGAATACAAAACCTGGTCAACCCTTCGGGGACCAGGTAACAAAGAAGCAAAGCAATACAGTCTCTATGTAGACAAGCAGATAGTGGAGCCTCTACCAGAAAAGTTACATAGTGCACTTTTTAAACTGCATTCTCAGCTATTTTATTAGAACCAAATCATTACGTTTTATTCAACAGGTTCTCTGCTGCTGGAGTCCAAGATCAACCCAAACACAAACTACCGGAAAGGGCAGGTGAGTGTTGACGTGCGGCCGTGGAGACTTGTAGATTAGACGTGCCTTGAGTCTGGATACTGCCTTGAGTTTTGTTGTTCCCAGTACACGATACTTTGGTGCGAGGCGGAAAACTATGACCTGGCGCTGAGCTTCCAGGAGAATGCCGGCTGTGACGAGATCTGGGAGAAAATCTGTCAAGTAAATAAAATATTGAAATAGAAAGTTTATGATAAATGAGGGGTTATGATTTGCAGTGAGTAAAAGATTTAGTCAGAGAGCTTCTTGTTGTACGAGTGGGACATTTGTTTTCTGCAATATAATAAGATTTGAGCTGTAGAAGGATGAATTAATACTTTTATGAGTCAGTTTTGATACAAACTGTGGAGCTCATGATTTTATTTTTTTACAATATTGTACATTTAGGACATTTTTGGGGAGATAATTCTGCTTTGTGGTTTGGTTAGGGGTGCTCAGATACGACACTGGTATCTGATATTGAACTGATATTGAAAAGTTTGGAGGATCAGATATCGGTTTCCAAGACCAGTCTATAAATTGATGTAATAAGAGGATTTACTGGCCAATATTGACCCAAAACATAATATTAATTTATTTTCATATCACTGTTCTGTAATCACTTTATATGATAAGTAACCGTTACAGGTTGAATAACATTTGGATCAATTTGATCATACGCTCTTGGTGTTTTAAATGATACAGACGTCCCTTGCTATATCACGGTCAGTGTTGGGAAGGTGACTTTTAAAATGTATTCCCCTACAGATTACAGATTACATACCTCAAAATGTATTTTGTAACGTAATCCATTAAATTACTTAAAGTGAGTAACGTAATCTGAATACTTTGATTACTTGATATTGTCATGCTTTTTAAAACTACATGAATGTAGCAACCACATCCAGAAAATTCTTGTTTGTTCTCTTCAAATTGTGTGTTGAGCCCAAGTCTCCATGAACAGGCAGTTGTTTGCTTGGAGAAACAAGGACGAGGAAATCTTAACATGAGATGTTTTATGTGCTAAAAGAAAATAAAAAGTCCAGTCTTTACTTAAGCATATTAAAAATATTATTGATAGAGAAATGATTTCTATATGAGATCACTACTGCTTTAAATTATGTCCACCCTACTGTTAGGTATCATATTGTTTAGATTTGGTTTAGTCCTGGTTTAGTCCTGGTTTAGACCTAGTTTAGACCTGGTTTAGACCTGGTTTAGACCTGGTTTAGTCCTGGTTTTAGACCTGCTTTTAGACCTGGTTTAGACCTGGTTTAGTCCTGGTTTAGACCTGGTTTATACCTGGTTTAATCCTAGTTTAGTCCTGGTTTAGACCTGGTTTAGACCTGGTTTAATCCTAGTTTAGTCCTGGTTTTAGTCCTGCTTTTAGACCTGGTTTAGTCCTGGTTTAGTCCTGGTTTTGGTCCTGGTTTTAGTCCTAGTTTTAGTCCTATTTTTAGTCCTTGTTTAGTCCTGGTTTTAGTCTTGGTTTAGCCCAAAATGTGAAAACAGGAAAATACTGCTGTGTAATCAATTTATTTCAACAAAGTAACTGTAATCCAATTACCACTCACTGAAACAGTAACTGTAACTGAATACAGTTACTCATAATTTGTACTCTGATTATGTAACGCCAGAACATGTAATCTGTTACTCCCCAACACTGATCGCGGTTCATTTTTCCTGGTTTCGCTGTTTTGCAGATTTTTTGTGTGCAATTTTGCATGCCTTTTTTTTTTTTTTACAGCCTATGAAAACGTATTGTGTATTACAGGCAGGTAGTAATTACACACGGGTGGGTCAGGACTAAACCAGGTCTAAACCAGGACTAATCTTGGATTTAAGAGAGAGAACCCTGAGCAGTGTGTCCGCAAAGCACGATCGAGCAATTACCGCGCTTACCTCAGTGAGGTGTGGAGCTCTCCATCTGTCCTTTCACCCAGAAACAAAAGCGATATGGTTAAAAAAACTAGAAAAGATCGGCTTTGTAAATAGACACATCCCACTGGGAAAACAAACATGGAGGTTTGATGCTCACTTTTTTCGGAAAATCCTTCCCATTATGCATTGTGCAATGACCGGAAGTCCGAGATTCGTGATGCATGTATTGGATTGTGCCAATTGTCGTGTCAGTATTTGTCATTCTGTTTATTGTTTTTGTGTGCGTCAGGTGCTGGGGAGGGACCCGTGGGAGGAGGATGCTCACTTTTTGGAGGAAGAGCTTGAGGAGGAGGAGTGCTCTGGTGACCTGTCCTCTTTGGTACCTTTTGCCTTGACTCCAGAATTTTGAACTTTCTGATGATATAAAATTTAAAGGGCCCATTTTTTTTTTTTTTTTTTTTTTTTGGGGGGGGGGGGTAGGTAATAATAAAATGTATAAAGTTGTTTTACGCAGCTTTTGTGTATTTTACCTAAACAAATGGCAATTTATGTTTCTCTGTACTGTTGGCAGGGATCAAATTGGTCAAAAATAGTTGACACCTCGGACATTTCTTGTATAAAACTGGAATAAATCAGTGGTTTTGGATAAATTTGCTGGGACAGAGGACACAGGGCTCAAAACTGGGACTGTCCCGGGTAAATAGGGGCAGGCGGTCACCCTCGACTAGACCATAGACTCTCTAGAGCGAGAGCAAATACTAGATGGCGGATTTACGCTGGCGTGGCTCATAGCCGGGTTAGGCTAACTCTTACAAAGTTAACTTTTAGGAGCTTAGACAATTTAACACATTTTTAAAAATACAAAAGAATCCCTACAAAATCAGATCTTTATGAAAGCTGTGGATGCCCTGTCAGCCAAACACGGGCAGTTTGGTTTTACAAAAAATGCATTGTGTTCTGTGGAATATTCCTTCTGTGCCGTAGCTGCAGTACCTCAGAGCGGCCATTAATCGATGTGGGGTCGTGGATAGAGGGGGCATATCTAATCCTGTTGTTATTACAGATCCATGCTCCAGAACCGCATGTGGCTCTTTCATCTTTCTGCTGTGCACATTTACAATTCTTTTTAAATGTAATTCTAACTTTGTAGATAATAGTAATCTGGAAACATTAAAATAAAGTGTTTTAAATTTTTTTGTCACTTAAAACATGTGTCACAGCCGCTAATGTGCGACACCCGGCTCAGATCTTACAGCCCGGACATACCAGCACCTACACCATCAGCATGATTTATTGAGCTTTTCGACCACGGTAGGTAAATGATGTGTACATCCAAGAAAAGAAAAGTTTCTGAAGAACACAGAACATTTAATGCTACGTGGGCAGATTCGTTGCTTTCATGGTTGATGAGGCTGCTACATGCGATAAAATGATGATGGAACACAGAAGCAGGCGGCGTTTTTGGTTCACTGTGGGTGGATAATTTAAGTTTGGATTTTTATTTCCTACAGTGAGGATTCAAATAGACATTGAGTATTTCATTTCAAAGTAAGCATCAACCAAGTGTCTTTTTTCAGAGTTCAAAATGTTTTTGTTATTTGCAGGAATAAAATTCCGTGCTCTCTGTAGCATTTTATAGATTTCATAAATGCAACACACCATAGTCTTTTATACATAGCATACAGGTTAAAACAATGCAGTGTTATCCTCATTTTACATGTCAAAAGGGTTTTGTGGCTCATATGTTTTATTTTCTGTGGGAAATGGTCCAAATGACCCTTTAAATATTTAAGTTGCCGACCCCTGGACTAGACCCAAGGAATTACTGTGTTATGTAGAGTGACCAGATTTTCAAAATCAAAAACTGGGACAACCCCGGTTTGGGGTGGTTGATAATAATAAAATGTGAAAAAAGTGCATAATTAAAAAACATTTTACTGCATGCGGCCCATTCATGATTAACATGTGAGCCAGTATAGTCACATTTTCTTTTGTTTTGGTCATTTCTAAACGGCTTTTCTGTATTTTACCTAAACAAATGGCAATTTATACCTCTCTTCACTGTTGGCAGGTACCAATTTGGTCAAAAATAGGGACACCTAGGACATTTTTTGTATAAAACTAATAAATCAGTGGTTTTGGATTAAGTTGCTGGTCACCCTAATATTACAATAAAAATCTGAGCTTTAACAATATTAATTTTAGCTTTCCCTCACCTGCATTAAATATTATTGACCTATAGAATGTTTTTTATGCCATCTGAAACCCAGGAATAAAACATTTCCTGCGCTGCGAGTCTTTCGTAAACACGGTATTTTCGAGTGCACTGTCTCTTTAAAAGTGTCGGGCCGCCCTGCGCTTGTTGTGCGGAAACCCCGTACTGACTCAGAGGGGACCCAAGATGGCGGAGCACTCACGGAGGGACAGTTAGCACTTATCTAACGACACTCCGGCGATGAATGGCACGTAGCGTTATTATGTAAAGCGCGACGTGCACGTAAACCCCCGACTTCACTTTGTGGCTTTGCATTGTTTTGGAAATGCCTGAATATTATTAGGGAGAGATCCAGTCTCTCCGCGGCCCCGAGCCAGAACATGGCGGAACACTGGGGAAGAAACAGCAGCTAAAGGCGACTAGCAGCCTCGGTTATCGGGCACAAAAAGGCAAACGGGTCCAGGGTAAACGCTCGATTTCAGCTCGCTATTGCGTAATAATGTTGTCTATGCGTGGGTCGGCTCGTTTTGTTTTATACGCCACCTTGAAAATGTGGGGGTGAAAACGCTAGCGCACTTGCTCCATAACGCGCATCGCTAACATCGCCCTGAGCGTACACAGTGTCCTATCAGCGCGGCCGTGTTTTGGTTGGCCTTTTACGCAGACGCTTTGCACGACCCTCACCTACACCCGTGTTATGCATGCACATCGCGTCTATAAACACGCGTATTTAGATGCCACCCGCAGTGTAAACCGGGCGTTCTGTCGATTGGCACAATGATTTTAAAAGCGCACTCGGCGACGTGTCCAATCTCACCAAGTTAAAAAAAACCAAAAAACAATTTCGGGGGGTCAGAGTTGGAAATCTAAACCCAGTCACAAAGTTTCTGCGCTGTGGGCTAAAAGGCACGGTCGGCGTAAGTTGAGGGGGTCCAGGGGGGGAGACTGCCCGCCGCCACCGGTCAGGATGACGGACACGCGGCGGAGAGTCAAAGTGTACACCCTGAACGAGGACCGGCAGTGGGACGACCGCGGCACCGGGCACGTCTCGTCGGGCTACGTGGAGCGACTGCGGGGCACGTCTCTGCTGGTGCGAGCGGAGAGCGATGGTGAGTGGACAGGAGGGAGACCAGACTAAAAAAAAAATCACACATTTGCAATTCGCTCAACCCAAAACACAAACACAGAAGTTGAAGGTCCTGTATTACGCAAAATTGACTCTTGTGAGGTTTAAACCACGTTGTAATATTGTTATTATTATGTTACTTCATCAATAACATACCCGGAGTTGATTTTTCATTCACACATGCAGGGTATCATTCAGAAGTTAAGCCACGATACGATACATATCTCGATACAGTGAGCTTACGATTCAGTTCAGTATGATATATTTCGATTTGATTCGTTACGGTTCAATAAAATCTAAAAGCTAAATCATGGCTGTGATACTAAAAGTGTTTGTTAAACCACTTCTTGTGCAAAGTTAATATGAAAAACACCCATTTTAATCATCAAAATGGTGAAAATGTCAAATGTGTCACATAAACAAATTTCCTTGCTCGAAGCAAGCAACAAAACTGTAGCACTGTAACAAAATAATTTGGTAAAATATACCTAAAAATACTCTTGGCAATATAACGATACAGCAGTCTGCGATTTCGATACTGTATCATCACATTGAACGATATGATACATCAATATTTTGTGGACTATTGACTTCATCAATAACATACCTGGAGTTGATTTTTCATTCATGCACGTTTGAGTCACCATCTATTATTAGTCTCGCTACATCGCTAAACTACTCAAAGTGCACTGTTCCACCTCGTGATGTCATGAGTATTATCTGTTACATAAGGGTAAGTTGTTGTACAGTTGTAGGGAGTATTATATGTTATATAATGGTGAGTTTTTGTACAGTTGTATGGAGTATTTAGATGAATTTAGTCCTGTGTCTCTCACTGTTTGAGTGGAGCTGTAGTAGCCTGTTATTAGTGACTAGACGTGAGAACTCACTGTGTGTTACTACAAAAATCTGGGTTTTAACAATATTAATTTTACCTTCCTCTCATCTGTATTAAATATTATTGCCCTATCATTTGAAACCTAGCAATAAAACATTTCCTACACTGTCCGTCTTTTGTAAACACTTAAGTTGAAGGTCCTATATTACGCAAAATTGACTCTTGTGAGGTTTAAACCATGAGTAGGGTGTGCAAAAAGTCAAAATATCAATAAATGTATAGTTTAATGTGATGATACAGTATCAGTATTATGAGCTGCTGTATTGATATATCACCAAGAGTATTTTTTGGTGTATTTTACTAAATTATTTTGATACAGAGGTAGTTTTGTTGTTTGTTTAGTGGACAGAAACGCTCTGTTTTGATGATTAAAATGTTTGTTTGATATTAACTTTGCACAAGAAGTGGTTTAACAAAGACTTTTAGTGTCACAGCCAAGATTTAGGATTTATTTTTTATTGAACCTTATCAAATGAAATCAAAAGTGCGCTGTACTGAGGTGTGTATTATGTCTGCAACTTCTTAATGATTCCCAGCCCTTGTCATGATGAGATTCACAATTTTAGAGCTGAATTTATCCAGTTGATTTTAGTAAAGGTGTAAGGAGTTTAAAAACACAATGGAGCACTTTCTGTATCACCACATGACATGACAAAGTTGAATGTTTTCTGTTTGCGAGAAGAACTCAGCCTAAATACGGGTTTCTGTGTTAAACGTGGGTGAATGAAACAAAACACAATTGCAGGTATGTTTGTGGTGAAGAAACAGAAAATAATATGGGCCTTTTTGAAGTACAGATCGCAGTTTTTCATGTTTTTCTATTTCTGACTTGGTTTGGTGGGGTAGAACTTGTGCTAAATATTTATCATAGTTACATCAGTTAAGTGGAAGTTTGTGGGAAAAAAATTGAGAAGGAAAGTGCAAAAATACAGGAAGTAGCGCTGAGTTCTCCAACGGAATCTCTCTACAGCACCTAAAATTCCCTCCAAAATGAAACCGTTTACTCAAGAAATTCATTTTTATCTGTTTAAACCTTCATTTAGCAAAATAAAGGTGTTGTCATTTATTTTTATTCGTCTAATATGATGTCAATTATGAAATGTATTAATGATAAACTTACAAAAACAAAAAATGCAAAAACAAAGTGGGTAGATATTATGACATTTGCGATGTTTTTGTGAAATTACTAATCTAGTCCGTCACATGCACTTTAACTTTATGGGTCTGCCACCTACTTGTCATCGTGAAATTGTTGTTTTTCTGTCAGAAATTTTCCACTGTATGGCATTAAACGGATCTGTTTGCGTGGAGACAGGCCGCAGGTGATGTCGGCAGGCCAAATTACAGGCGAGGAAAGTTTAATGCCATACTGTGGGACACTCAAAGCAAAGCCACAACTCGTCTGCTCTTGTGTTCATGGGTTGCAGAGGAAGGTGTGTGCGTTAAATTGTTGTGACTGGAGTCTAAATGGTAAATATCAGACCTGCGTGAAGTTGGCCCCCATGGAAAAATCTGTATTATTATTATATAAAATATGTTACAAGTTACTAACCATAGGCTGAGATTGTTTATCTTCACTAGGTTTGCAGAGGTTTGCTAAAGCTGCTGACGTCACTTGAGCAGAAATTATGTCACATAATTTTCGCAAAAATAATAATTAACGATTTTAGAAATATACTAGCACAAATGAAAATTGTCACAGCCTAGGGTTGATGCTGTTAAACCTTCTCAGGATTTTACCGTGGTATGCCTTATTAACGTATTACCAACATGTTTTAGTACGACTTTGGTAAACTACGAAGCTGCACCACTGTACGGTCTGTGCGTATGACCTGCTGATTTATAATCTCTGAAAAGTTTCAAATGAACCATCTCCAACATGATACACACACAGAATAGACCCACCGTCAGCCGCACATCCTCTATCACAGAAAGAACACTCATATTCCACTGAGCCGAACCGCATCAGTGCAAAAGGAGTGAGTTGTTTTTTAACCGCACTTTATAATTTATGCAAATGAGCCATGTGGTTTTAAGTTTAGTTTCTGTAAAATGTAAACAAATGTGAGACTGAAGCCAAAAGTACAATTTTTTTTTTTTAGGACCAACTTTCTTGTGGCCGGACTTGCCGTCTTGTCTTGGTCTCCTTTATGAGCGTCATGTGACAGTGGAACAAAACTAATCCAATGTCATCTTCCCACGCAATTAAAATAAACATTATAGACACTATTAGTTTTAAATTGTGATAGCATTAAATTGAAAATACAACCACAAAGTCATTTGTGCTGAGCAAACTAATTTAGGCATCAATAAATTATATTATGTTAGGTCTTAGGTCCTTATGTGGTGCAGATTTTTTTAATGACGATAATGAAACTGATACTGTTGCTACTTTTGATATGGTGGGATACTGTAATACTGTATTACCGCCCAACCCTAGTCACAGCACAAAACAGCCCAAGTAAAATACAGACGTTTTGTATAATTTTCTGCCTGTTTTGAGTGCTATTTTATAGAGGTGTGCCTTGCAATGAATCTGGCAATATAATACGTATTACAATATGCATGTCACGATTCAATAGATCACGATATATCCCGATACTAAAACAAAGGACACTATATTGTGATTTATCAATAATCACACATGATATTATGGTCGAGAACTCATTCTCAAGAACAAAACTGGATGAAATACAATTAATTAAACTTTTATTAAACTTTTAAATCATGTCAATAGTAAGAAGTAGTAGAAATTTTAAAAAGGACTTAAAAAATCTATTCGAAATGCTTTCGAATTGATATGAGAAATGTGCAGCGAAGTATCATGATATCACTGAATCGATTTTTTTCCCCTTTAGAATCCTACTATTTAACAGTTTGAGGAGCTGGAAGATGTCATCGGCCGAAAATAAAGCAGCTAATATCTTAAGAACTATAATGGCACTAACGAAACTTTTTGCAGCACAAAAAAAGCACAAATGACTGACACAGTTTTGTGACGTTTTAGAGCATTTTTAAGCTTCCTGGGGGCTGGCTGACCCCAATTTGACCTATAAAAGAATCGTTAATCTCTCGAAAACTAAAGCAGTACAAATGAAACCTTTTTGAAGCACAAACGGAGCACAAACGATAGGCGTAGTTTTTGTGTAGGTTTGCGTTTGATGGAGGGCCAACATCACGCAGGTAAATATCAGCGGTGCAGTGGGTTGAGTGTTTGCCCGCTAACCAGACCATATTTTTACAGTTATGTTCAGCGTTTCCCACACATAAACCGATCTGTGTTGCAGCATCACAGAATGAAACCCGAGCACCACAAATTGATTCCGCCTCTTTACCTTTAGTAGTTTCTTATATCTAATTATAGTATTTTATAGGGGTGTAATGATATCCAAGTCTCACGATACGATATCTTCATGGTATCAACCTCACCGTACGATATTTATTGCGATATTGTTGGGAAAACTCGCGATATGATGGGGAGGCTCACGATAAGGGATGTAACAATATTAAAATCTCACAGTATGATATTTATTGCAATATTTGTGCCACTTTTTCCCCTTAAAATGCTATGACAAGACTTAAAAGTGCTTAGAACTTTTATTTTATTTTATTTTATTTCTCGTAGTCTGCACTGAAATGGAGCAAAGGATCCCCTTGCTGCACCATAACTCTTAATTTAAGCAAAGAGACTTGTAATTCGATAAATTGTGATGGTCCATGATATTATTGAGCAAAATTTGACGATACAATATCACGATATTTCGGCTATTGTTACATCCCTAGTATTTTATTTATTTTGTTTGTGTGATTTAATTGTTTAGTTTTACCCAAAACAAAAAGTTACATACAAGATAAAGTTATAAAATTTAGTTAAGTATTTGAAATTAAAACCTCAAGATTTACTTCCTTGAATGTTAAAGAATCTCAAATTCAGGTAAAATCTAAACTTTAACATCAATTTTGTAAGTAAATCTCAACTTGAAACTTAAAATACAGGTCTTCCACAAACATAATTCTTCTGAGCAAGCTGTACCGGCGCGCCTTACAGTTGTCGGGGGAGGGGGCACCACACAATGCTCCTCGGTCTGTAGAAAACACTGATGTCCTTGAGCAAGACACTTCCTCCGCTTTGGCCACGTCAGTCGTAGCAGCGTTACAACCGGCAACATCAGCTGACTCACTACAGCAACCCGCCTGAACGAAGGGATAAGCGGAAGGAAAACAGATTATTGAGCAGTGGATCGGAACACGCAGGCAAACTTACAAGTCAGCTCTGTGGTGAGGTTACCCCGACGCGCCCTGCAAGAATACTTGTTTTTCCAGTTATTTCTTTAGCAAACACCTTCATATTTCTTTTTAAAACATCTTCATGGAGACAAAAATTGCGACACGGTGGAATTTTTGCGTCTTCCGTCCTAACTTAAAGGTGCAGTTTTGTTCGCCACTTGCTTGTCTCAATGAATATGTTAATGGTAATGCCTGGAATTTTACACGGAATGGCATTAAACTTAAATATTTTATGTGTTGATAAGCTTGCAGTGAGAGCCACATCTTCACAGATCTGAGCTGTAACTTGACCTGATGGTTTCACATGTTTAATATGTGGACAATTTTTCAATGTAAAGTCATTTGTATAGTCTATATTTTACATTTTAACAATCAAAGAGGCACAGCAATACAGTCTGTCTATGTAGAAAGAAAAAAACTAAAGTTACATAGTGCTTTTTAAACTGCAACCTCAGCTGTATTATTCAGGGTAGCCGCAGGGTCTTAAAAGTCTTAAAAAGGTCTTAAATATCATATTCCTAAATTAAGAACTTAAAACTCTTAAATTATGTTGTCCAAGTCTTAATTTTTTTCACAAAGATCTTAAATCTCACTAGTCTATTTTTTTGTTAACTCAACCGGGCTGCAGTGCAATGTTAAACGGAGGAGAAAAAAAAACCAACAACAACAACGTGAAGCTGAAGTTTGCCTAATAAAAGTGCACAAATGCATCTGTATTTGTCACGATGTAGGTTTGGTTTGGTAAATCTGCAGAGGCTGAATCCCACTGCAAAACCAGTAAGAGAATGTAACTTCAGTTTGGAACTTGGAAAAAAATGGTTTAAAGATTCTACCCACTTTCTTCAGTTTTCTGTAAAGTTCTCTTAAACAAGGGATTCTCAAATTGTGGGTGAGGGTCCAAAAAAGAGGCGCAGAGTGTTTAAGCGCAGCGGAGTTTGCTTGGCTTTTGCAGTAGGTAGATCATTTTATTTGGATGCTGAAAAAGTGTGGGCACCTCTTTTCTAGATAATAGTAGTTGGTTGGTCATTATTGGAATTGGAGCTGGTGTTTTTCGCCCGCATAATGGGTGCGGTGATCTTAAAAAGGTCTTAAATTTGGGGTAGTCAAACCTTGGGGATACCGTGTTATTAGAACCAAATCATTGTGTTTTATCCGACAGGTTCTCTGCTGCTGGAGTCCAAGATCAACCCAAACAGCCTACCAGAAGCAGCAGGTGAGTGTTGACGTGCGGCCGTGGAAACTTGTAGATTAGACGTGCCTTGAGTCTGGATACTGACTTGAGTTTTTTGGTTTTTTTTTCTTCCCAGGACACGTTGATAGTTTGGTGCGAGGCGGAAAACTATGACCTGGCGCTGAGCTTCCAGGAGAAGGCCGGCTGCGATGAGATCTGGGAGAAAATCTGCCAGGTAAGTAAAATGAAAACACTGAAACAGAATGTTGATGGTTAAAGAATAAAAGATCTCGTCAGAGCGTTTCAATCAACAGTCAAGAAAAGATCAAAATCTGGGGGTCATTATTTATCGTGTACCTTCTTGTTGAACTAGTGGGATGTTTGTTTTCTGCAGTATAATAAGATTTGAGCTGCAGAAGGTTGAATACATATCAGCTTCTCTGAGTCATTATTGATACAAACTGTTGATACAAGGAGTTGGAATCTGGGATTTCATATATTGGAGCTCATGTTTTTTTTTTGTTAACTACTTTTTTTTTTTTTTTACTGTATTGTACATTTAGGACATTTTTGGGGGGATCATTTTGCTTTGTAGTTTGCTCCGATATTGAACCGATATTGAAAAGTTTGGAGAATCAGTAGGTGTGGGCGATATCTCGGTATTCCAAATATATCGAGATATTTTTTAAACACGAAATGGATTCTGACATGTCATACATATCGAGATAATGCTTAGAGTTAATTCTGATTTCGCCGCTTCGCATGTTTGTCTTCCCAAGTGTATGCAAATGAGCCATGTGCTTTTAAGTTTTGTTTAACTGCATTAAACTCATTATAATCTCAAAACGGGCTGATGTGGCTCTGTAGTAGTTATGGTTTAGATGTTGAGAAGTTGTTAGAAGTTTATTTATGCAGAAGATTTTGATTAATAATCTGCTGCAGTGTAGAACTTGTACAATTGTGTTTGGAAACATTGAGTTTGATCTGCAGTGGATTGTGGGAAACCTCAGAGCTCCTTACACTGGTCAGGAACATAGATCTGTTCAAATAAAATCAGGAACCTTCCGAGCTGCTTCTGCTAAAGGAGCTCACGGTTCTGGTTATTGTACGGTTAAAGAGCTAATGCAAACATCGGCTTGAGTTGTTTTATTTTTGAATGAAAAGAAGGAAATGTGTATTATTTCTTTCTTTATTTTACAGTTAAATTATTATTTTGGCTTACAGGGATTTTTAAAAAATGTTGCAGAAGCACTTTGTTCCTACATGAACTTTGCACTTTGATTAAAAAAAAAAAAAAAAATGACCATGTGGAATTTGTTTTTGGACTAGTTTTTGGGAGGTTATTTTTCCTGTACAGATATTGAGATATATATCATATATTGAGATATATTTTTAGCTCCATATCGCCCAGCCCTGAGGATCAGATATGTTTCCAGGACCATTTTATAAATTGGTGTAATAAGACGATTTACTGGCCCAAAACATAATATTAAACTATTTTCATATCGCTGATCAGTAATTACTTTTTATGATAAGTAACTGCTACAGTTTGGATAACATTTGGATCATATGTTCTTTGTATTTTAAAGGATATAAATTCTGTTTTCAGTGTCTGCTTTAGTAATCTCGGGTATTTGGATACTAGTAAACTATGGCTACATTTATATGATGACGGTCTGAACAGAAGACGCAAAAGTGGCATCGCTTCTTCACTTTTTATTCCGCGTTTAGACAAGCGTTTTTGGGGAGGAAATGTGATGCAAAAGTGTGTGGAATTCGATTGTGTATGCATGCCAGGCGGCTCCGTGGTGACACTCGGTGGTGATTTATGTGACGTAAACGTGTACACGTCGTGAGCAGATCTGACCAGAGTTTTGCGTCTTGGGGAGTGTAGACAGAAATGCTACGGCAAGTGTATTCAACTATTCAGATTTTGGCGTTTTTAAGCCCCAAAAACGCCGTCACCGTCTAAAAGAAAGGCACTTACGATAAAATATTTTGTCATTTTATGATATCTGAAGAGAATAAGCCAGATCAGTGCGTTTCAGAGCAGCTTTTATGTATTGTAAATATTTCAGTGTGACTGTAACTGGATTGTGCCAGTTGTTGTCAGTATTTGTTATTGTGAATATTGTTTTTGTGTGTGTCAGGTGCAGGGGAAGGACCCGTCGGTGGAGATCACTCAGGATGTGGTGGACGAGTCTGAGGAGGAGCGCTTTGAGGACATGTCCTCTCCGGGGCTGGAGCTGCCCCCGTGTGAACTGAGCCGTCTGGAGGACCTGGCCGAGCTGGTGGCCTCGTCGCTGCCCTCTCCCCTCAGGCGGGAGAAGCTGGCCCTGGCCGTGGAGAACGACAACTACATCCGCAAACTGCTGGAGCTGTTCCGCGTGTGCGAGGACCTGGAGAACAGAGAAGGCCTACACCACCTCTACGAGATCATCAAGGGCATCTTCCTGTTGAACCGCACGGCGCTCTTCGAGGTCATGTTCTCGGACGAGTGCATCATGGACGTGATTGGCTGCCTGGAGTTTGATCCCGCCCTGCCGCAGCCACGCCCGCACAGGGAGTTTCTCACCAAGACGGCGCGTTTCAAGGAGGTTATCCCCATCTCGGACCCGGAGCTGAGGCAGAAGATCCACCAGACGTACCGCGTGCAGTACATCCAGGACATGGTGCTGCCCACGCCCTCCGTGTTTGAGGAAAACATGCTGTCCACGCTGCACTCCTTCATCTTCTTCAACAAGGTGGAGATTGTGGGCATGCTCCAGGTGAGAGCTCAGGGCCTCTGCTCGCGGCGGCGGCTCTTTGAGGTTACACACAGGGAGAACCAGGCGACTCCTGCCTGCAGCTTTTCTGTCTAAACAAAGAGCTTTGCCATTTGATTCTTGTTTATATTTTGTGTTATTATTGTACTTTCATGTACTCTACACACAAGTGTGTCACAAGTTTGGACACACTTTTTCATGCATGTTTATTGTTTATTTTCATGACTCTTTACATTGTAGATTCTCAATTCATCAAACTTATGAATGACAAATGTGGAATACGGCTGCTTGATTATGAAAAAAATCATTATGATTATTTTGGTCAATATTGAAATCACGATTCTTCAAACGATTATTTTTTAGCTACTAGATGCTTTTATTCAGCATTTCTCTCTCAAAGAAACAAAACAAAACACTTTGTTATTGAAAATGTACGTAAAACATTCAAATTGAAAATATATATAGGCTACAAATCTGTACCTTAGAGCAGTTTTGCGATGAATAAAATATACTTTGAACATGAAATAAGGCATAGAAAAACAAATTTATCCAACATAACCTATATGTCCTGCTGTTCTACAATCTCTGCATTAAAAAAAAATTTAAATATACTTATTTATATAAAAAAATATACCAAAATAAACATTAAGCTTTATAGTTTAAACTCCATTATATGAGTCTGGAGATCATTTGACACACAAATTGAAATCGTGGTCAGAATTCGATTAATTGCACAGCCTTAGGTGTGGAATATAATAAACAAAAATAACTTTAGATTTTTGAAAATAGCTTTCTCCCTTTGCTTTGCACTTTGATTTTCACTTCACAGCTCTGCCAAGTCAGGGTCAAGAAATACAAAGACCAAGCAAAGGGTTGGTCTGGATTTTAGTTTAAAATATAAAACAAATATTTAGAGTCATTCAACATAAGTCCGTATATCTTGCTTCGTGTATTTGATATCTTCCTTATCTCCAAAAATGTAGAAAGTAGTAAACAAAAAAACACTGAATGAACATTGAGTGTGTCCAAACCTTCGACAGGTTGTGCACGAATAGATGTGTACATAGATGTGCTCTGTTCTCCAGCTTTTATTTGTTGAAGGGGATTTGCATTCACCTTAGAAAACGTTCAGAGTTGTAACTGGTTTCTGGTTTTGCATGTGGAATCCGTGTATCATTCGTTCATTCGTTTTTCAATATAAAACCATAAAATAAGAAAATGAAAAAATCTATTATTTTCTTCATTATTTGTCTCCAAAATCAAAATGAAAAACAGATAATGATTTGTTTTTTCAGTTTTAAATTTTCAGTTTAAATGAAAAATGGAAAAAAAAAGGATAATGGCCGTTTCCCATTTCTGTGACTTCTGTGACTTCCGTAACTGCGATGTTGGACTTTTAACCCTAACCCTAAACCAGGACTAAACCAGGTTCCGGGACCAGACCGGAACTGAGACCAGTACTTAGGACCAGCCCTTGACTGAGACCGGGACTGAGACCGGGACTGAGACCGGGACTGAGACCGGGACTGAGACCGGGACTGAGACCGGGACTGAGACCGGGACTGAGACCGGGACTGAGACCGGGACTGAGACCGAAAACAGTTTAGTGCTGGTTTAGTGCTGGTTTAGTCCTGGTTTAGTCCTTTTTTAGTCTAGCCTCGCAGTCAGGGAAGTCATAGAAACGGGAAACGGTCGTTATCCATTATTTCTATTTTTCATTTAAACACAAAATCAAAAACTGAAAAAACAAATCATTATCTGTTTTTTCACTTTGGTTTTGGAGACAAATAATGAAGAAAATTATTATTATTATTATTATTATTATTTTTCTTACTTTTGGTTTTATATTGAAAAACAAATGAACGAATGATACACGGATTATGTGGGCCTGTCACGATCATTTCTATATCGATATACTATTGTTCAATAGTGCTGAGTATCATTCAGAAGTTGCCGATACGATGCATACCTCGATACAGTGAGCTTTTGATTTGATATATTTCAAATCGATTCGATACAGTTCAATAAAAAATAAAGTCTAAATCATGGCTGTGATACTAAAAGTCTTCGTTAAACCACTTCCTGTGCAAAGTTCATATGAAACACAAACATTTGAATCATCAAAACAGTGAAAATGTCAAACGTATCGCATAAACGAGTTTCCTTCCGCTGAACAAGCAACAAAACTGTAGCTCTGTAACAAAATGATTTAGTAACATATACCAAAAAACACTCTTGGTGATGTATCGATACAGCAGCCCATGATATCGACACTGTATCACACATTAAACGATACGATATATCGATATTTTGATATTTTTGCACAACCCTTTCGTTCAAAATATAAAAGATGGAACAATATATTTTGGGATTCAATAGTTGTCGCGTTAATCTTTGTAAAAGTGGGACTAGTTTGGGTATTTTTGTTTTAATACAGCAACATTTTAGCTGTAAAAGGTTTAAATAAGCGACTTTTATGGCAAATTATTGGTTCATTGTATAATTTTTTTAGTTGCAGCTTCAACCCTCTAATGATACAGACAATATTTTGGGACTCAATTTTTGTCACGTAACATTTATCTTTATAAAAGTGGGACTAGTTTGGATATTTTTGGTTTAATACAGTAACATTTTAGCTGTAAAATGTTAAAATAAGTGACTTTTATGGCAAATTATTGGTTCATTTTATAATTTTTTAGCTGCAGCTCAAACTTTTTAATGATACAGACAATTTTAAAGTGGATTTAATTTAATTTAACTTGGATTATTTTGCTTAATGTGCTGTTTATTGGAATATATCGTGTTTCGAAATGTGTTATCGTGACAGACCTACTTGCACGTAACGGAAATGAAGAAAAGCAAATGGTAACTTTACTTTAGTATTCAAATGTTCTTTCAAAAAAATCCTGAAATAAGATTGTGTGAATGGAGGAGCAGTAGTTGTTGTTTTTGATCCTGCTGTAATGTTCTGTTGGCGGGCCATGATGGCTCACGTCACGCCGGTTGGTTTGGGAGTCATTTATGGCCATGTGACCTTTGTTTTTGTACTGTGTCAACTCAGCACTGTTTATGTATGCGGTCGCCATGGTGACGCGGCGCTGTTGTGTAAAGCTCTGCTCGGCTCTGCTCTGCCAGCGCCGTCCCATGTCCTGTTTACCACCGATTCAAACCTCATATCGTCTGAACATCATAGGGCTGAACTATTTGGGGAAAAACAATACCTTAATTGCAATTTTTCTAACTAATATTGTAGGTTAGATTTGAAAATGTATGTTTTAAAGGTCCCACATTACGAAAAATTTACTCTTGTGAGCTTTAAATCCAATTGAGAAACCCTGTATAATTAGTCTGTCTACATGTCCAAAGCTCAGAATGCTGTCTTCCACCTTGTGATGTCATGTAGTGGTGTTTTTTTCAGTGTAAAATTAGCTGTTTTAACAAACAATAATCAACAGAAAAACAAAACAGAAAAACTTAGACCTACGTAATCCGTGTGTCATTTGTTCATTCGTTTTTCAATATAAAACCAAAAATAAGAAAACGAAAAAACAACAGTTGTATTCATTATTTGTCTCTAAAACCAAAATGAAAAAAAAAAAGGACAAGAAATTTTGTGTTTAAATGAAAAATTGAAGAAATGGATAAGGGACGTTTCTCATTTACGTGACTTAAACTGGGAGGCCGGACTGGACCAGGACTAAACCGAGGACCGACAGTGGGTCGAGACCTGGGACCGAGACCTGGGACCGAGACCTGGGACCGAGACCTGGGACCGAGACCTGGGACCGAGACCTGGGACCGAGACCTGACCGTGATTGAGACCAGGACTGAAAACGGTTTAGTCCTGGTTTAGTCCGTATGCGGTACAAAAGTCCAGCATCACAGTTTAAGAAACGGCCTTTTTTGATTTCAGTTTTGGAGACAAATAATGAAGAAAATTGTTGTTTTTTTGTTTTCTTATTTTTTGTTTTATACTGAAAAACAATTGAACGAATGATACACAGATTTACAATCTTAAAGCATAATTTTAAAGGCGTTTTGTTTTTCTGTGACTGAAATCATCCAAATGATTCTAGTGAAGGTGTATAGAGTTTTAAAACACAATGGAGCACTTCCTGTATTACCACATGACATCACAAGGTGGAGGGTTTTCCGTTGGCGAAAATAACTCAGCCTAAATATGCAGGATTTGTGTGTGAATTAAATGAAACACAACTCCAGGTCTGTTTGTGATGAGGAAACGACATTATAGCAGATCTCTGATCGAAGTTCACAATTTAAACGCAACCGTGAGAAATGACAAAAAGACTGAAATCTGAACGGACAAACGAATACAAGAGTCACATTTCAGAGCGTGTTTGTACAGATCTAAATGACGGGTTTTTGTGTCGAATAAGACGGGACATTTTATTGTTTGAAATTTGGGCGAAATTCATTTGTGCCTCCACTTTCACCTGTATTTTTGTTGAGTGTGTTGAGACGTTTAAAGGGCCCATATTAGGCTTTTTTTCTGATCCATGTAGTAATATTTCCTCATCACAAACATACCTGGAGTTGTGTTTTATTCACACATGTTTGACACACAAACCATTTTCCATCTTGTGATGTCATGAGGTAATGCAAAAAGTGCTCCACTGTGTTTTTAAACTCCATACACCTTCACTAGAATCATTTGGATAAATTCAGCTGTGGAATTCCTAATCTCTACTGAATTAAATGTAAAAGAAGGTGCTAATTTAAACTACTGCTCCATGACATCACAACGGGCAGTGTTTCCCACAGAAAGTTGGTTAGGCAAGGTGGTACTGCCTAAAAAATGTCCGATTCTGTGCACGGAGAAGAAGTGAGGAGTGGGGGGGTGTTGCGATTCCATGCAACGACCGCAGGTGAGCGAGGATTCACGTGGTTCGGAGGGACATAGTCAAGGCGGGGGCCACTTGTTGTCAAGACAGCTGCCTTAACTATTAGAACTTTTTCTGAACATATTTCTTAGAACTATTCTCAGTCTAACAGCAAATTTGAGGGAAAGTCAGTAAACGACAAACAAATATTTTGTTTACCAAGCTGAATTTTGAGTTTTAAGAATGCTAATTAGCATAATAGCATAGACGCCAGGCTAATCAAATTAAAGTTTTCTTTAATTGAATGGATTTCATTAAAAGTCCAGAAAACAAATACCAGTATACTCTATATATATCAGATAAATATTATAACTAAGATAGAAATTACCACATGACCCCTAATTAGCATACTGAAATAAAAAAAAAAAAAAAGGCTATACTGCAGCTTTTTAAAGCTAGCGTCCTTCATTTCCTTCATTTCAGGAGCAGAAATGAAACACATTCCTGATTCAGATTTCTACTAGGTTTGGATTCTAGGTGATTGCTCGATTTACTATCAGTCTACGTTCCTCCCCTCACCTATGGTCATGAGCTCTGGGTAATAATCAAAAGGATGAGATCTTTTCCTCTTTTCAGACTTTTCCTCAAATTTGCCCTTAGGACTTCTCTTCTGTGAAAATAATCCTTGTCTGTATAAAGTGCTGCAGGAAACACTGAGGTGGAACAGAGCATTTTGAGCGTAGAGATGTAAACAGACTAATAATAAAGGATTACTCAAATGTGTGAATGAAATAAAACACAACTCCAGGTCTGTTTTTGAGGAGGTAACAACATTATAACATGACTTAAAGGTCATAAGAGCTGTGTCATATCTGGGTTTGCTTTTTAATGTACATATTGATATTCAGTTGCCAACTGTGTACATTGGTAGATATTTCTTTTTAATGCACATATTTTGTGAATCATGTGTAAATTGTTTATCAATCTCACTGCTTGTAACTCAAAGTGCATATGACAGGTTTTTGTGATTTTCTAATTATGGCTTTTGGTGGATAGAATCTGTGGTTAGTATTACTATGATTAATAATAGTTTTACATCAGTCAAGTGGCAGTTTGTGTGGAAAAAGTTGAGAAGAAAAGTATAACAATACATGAAATAGTGCTGAGTTCTAAAACGCAATACTGTTACATATGTCATCAAGAAAATCCCCATCCAAAAAGACCATTAAACAAAAAGAAAGGCGTTTTTCTGACCATTTAAGCCTTACATAAACATAAAACATTCAACAGCTACATTTGTCTGTCTACTGCCTGTGTCCAACCGAGAAGTAAAATGACAAACCTGATCAAATAAAAAAATCCAGGCATATTTATTTTAACATCTTGCACATCATGTTAACTGCGTTGTTATGTAATTCGTAGTCTAACCTGTCATATGCACTTAAACTTGAGGTACAGTATAAGCCTACAGTTGAATTTCTAAAACCTTTTGTCTCTCCGACATCAGGACGATGAGAAGTTTTTGACAGACCTTTTTGCACAGCTGACCGATGAAGCCACAGACGACGACAAAAGGCATGAACTGGTATGAACTTTTTTTCTGTATGAAAGTCAAATCCACATCTGGTTTGGTGTTTTTTTTGTTTTTTTTTCTTTTAATTTTCTGTTCTCATCGGAAAATTCCACACTTGTTTTTTAAGGTGAACTTCCTCAAAGAGTTCTGCGCTTTCTCCCAAACGTTACAACCACAGAATCGAGACGCCTTCTTCAAGACGTTGTCCAACATGGGAATCCTGCCTGCACTAGAGGTCATACTGGTGAGTGCTGTTGAGTTTAGGTTGGCTCGGTTTGATTTGTAGTTCTTCATCACTAGTCTCACAAAAACTGGCTACCTGATATTCAAATAGTTAAAGGTAGGGATGCAACAATAACCCTAAATATCGTGATATCGTATCGTCAGAGTTCTCACAATAGATCGAATTACAAGTCTGTTTGCTTAAATTAAGAGTTATGGTGCAGGAATAGCTAAAAAAAACAAAAAACAGATTGAACTACATAGACCATGATCGTTTGCTCCATTTCAGTGCAGACTACAAGAAGAAATAACCTTTCTAAGCACTTTTAAGTCTTTGGATTAAGTCTTGTCGAGGCATTTTAAGAGGAAAATGTAGAATATTAACAGTTTTGTTTGTTCACCTGCACAAAATATCGCAATAAATATCGTACCGTGAGATGTATATTGTGAAAATATTGTACCGAGAGATTTGCATATTGTTACATTCCTACCATATCGTGAGCCTCCCCAACATATCATGAGCTTTCCCACGATATCGCTATGAATATCGTATCATGAGACTTGGATATCGTTACACGCCTAGTGAAAGGAGAAGGAAGTTTGTTTGAACCAACCTATACTTGTTGTTTGTGGTCGCGAGTTGTATGTTTGTGTTTTAATTTGCACAAGTAGTATTTTCTAAGACCAGGCAAACTGTGGGACTTTCCTCACACAGCTTTTTTCTTGGGTTTGCAGTACATAAAATGGTTTCAGATTCAATGCAGACAGCACAGTAGTGACACACGGGTTTGCTTTTTTCAGACGCTCTTCTGTGCCTTCATTTGTAGGGATGTAACAATAACCGAAATATCGTGATATAGTATCGTCAGAGTTCTCGCAATAATATCGTGGACCATCACAATAATGAGAGAACTACATAGACCATGATCCTTTGCTCCATTTCAGTGTAGACTGCAATAAGAAATAACAGTTTTAACACTTAAGTCTTTGGATTAAGTCTTGACAAGGAATTTTAAGAGGAAAATGTAGAATATTAACAGTTTTGTTCACCTCCACAAAATATCGCAATATCGTACTGTGAGGTTCATACTGTGAGGATATCTTATCGTTAGACTTGGATATGGTTACACCCCTAGTGAAAGGAGAAGGAAGTTTGTTTGAACCAACCTATACTTGTTGTTTGTGGTCCCGAGTTGTATGTTTGTGTTTTTAATTTGCACAAGTAGTATTTTCTATGACCAGGCAAACTGTGGGACTTCCCCTTTTGAAATCTTCAGGCTGGGAACCACTGGTTTTCTCTTAACTTGCTCTTTGCTCTCCTAAAGTCCTTTGGCACATCGCCAGTGTTAAGGGTTTTTCTGGGTTTTTTACAGCGAAGTGAAAGGGGAAGGGTGAATTGTTCTCCCATAACCAGTCCTCTCTCCTCCCAAAGCGTCATGTAGTGACTCACACAGCTTTTTTCTTGGGTTTGCAGTCCATAAAATGGTTTCAGATTCAGTGCAGACAGCACAGTAGTGACGCACGGGTTTGCTTTTTTCAGACGCTCTTCTGTGCCCTCATTTGTAGGGATGTAACAATAACCGAAATATTAATAAATTAATTACATAACAATAACAATTATTGCATAAATATCGTGATATCGTCAGAGTTCTCACAATAATATCGTGGACCATCACAATATTTCAAATTACAAGTCTCTTTGCTTAAATTAAGAGCTATGATGCAGCAACAGCTAAAAATAAAGACAGTGAACTACATAGACCATGATCCTTTGCTCCATTTCAGTGCAGACTACAAGAAGAAATAACAGTTTTAAGCACTTTTAAGTCTTAGTTCTTTGGATTGAGTCTTGCCAAGGCATTTTAAGAGGAAAAAGTCACATATTCACAGTTTTGTTGGCCTCCACAATATATTGCAATAAAAATCGTACTGTGAGATGTATATCATGAAAATATTGCAGAAATATCTTAAGAAATTTGGATATTGTCTCATTCCTAATCATGAGCCTCCCCACAATATCGTGAGCTTTCCCACGACATTGCAATAAATATCGTACCAAGAGCTTCATACCATAACGATATAGTTTTGTGAGACTTGGATATTGTTACACTCCTACATTTGTCAATCAGAGTTACAGGTGATGATGTTTGCGTTATGTTAAAGCAGAGGAGTGTTTGGACGTGACCCACCCAAAGCCACGGGTTAACTGCAGGTTTTACGTCCCTGCACTTCACAGCTGTCTGTAGGGTTGGGCGGTAATACAGTAATACTTACGATATCCCGTGGTATCAAAAAGTAGCAATGGTATCAGTTTCATTACCGTCATTAAAAAAAAAAATCTGCAGCACATAAGGACCTAATATAATATAATCATTTACTGATACCTAAATTAGTTTGCTCAGCACAAATGAATGTGTGGTTGTATTTTCAATTTAATGTTATCAGGATTTAAAACTAATAGTGTCTATAATGTTTATTTTAACTGTGTGGGGAGACGACGTTCGATTAGTTTTGTTCCGTTGTCACGTGACGCTCATAACTGAGACCAAGACAAGAGGCAAGTCCGGCCACAAGAGAGTTGGTCCCAAAAAATATATATAAATACTAGTACTTCTACAGTTTGCAGCATTTTGGCTTCAGGCGCACATTTGTTTACATTTTACAGAAACTAAACTTAAAACCACATGGCTCATTTTCATAAACTACTAGCCCTCTTTGTGTCGCTGTTGTGGTTCAGCTTCTTTCGGACAAAAGGACATGACTCAGTGGATTATATCTGTTCTTTCTGCGACAGAGGATGTGCTGATGATGCTGAGTCTGTTCTGTGCGTGTATCGCGTTGGAGATTCATGTTAAACTTTTCAGAGATTATAAGTCTGCAGGTCATTCGCACAGACTGTATAGTAGTACGGCTTCGCAGCTTACCAAAGTCTTTAACAGTATCAAAATGTGGATACCGCCCAACCCTAGCTGTCTGCTGTATTTACAATATGCTCTGATTTCAAGTTTATGACAGAAATTGTAAACCCACTACATCAGACCTGGGCTTTGTACAGCTCCCAGACCACATACGGCACTTTGGTTGACTCTGACAGGCCTGTTTAAACTAATATGGGATTACAAATAAACATATTTCATCATTTTACCTCATGCTTGGACTAAAGTTGCATTGCTTTTATTTTATTTGGCGTTTTTTGTAAGGCAACCTCACTTTTTCATTGTTTAGTCATTACATAAACTCTTACAAGATTAACCAGCTGGTCAAAACAGAGCTATTTACTGCTTTTTAAAAAGAAACACAATTAATATTATGCAGAATTGAGTTAAGCATTTTGGCCCAACCCTCCACAATATTTTGCTTCTCCTGTGGCCCCATGGAAAAAATAATTGCCCACCCCTGCTCTACACATGCCTTATTTACATTTTACTGTAAACAAATATACTTTTATTTATAGTTTATATACCCGAATACTTGTAATATCCAATATGGTAATGCATGAGGTTAGACTGACAAAACTGAGGCCGCTGCAGAGTGTAAAGTTTGTTAATACTCATTTTGTTGGATGCGCTTGAGACTCACTTTACCCGGGGCTTGAATAACAAACTTGAATAACAAACTTGAATAACAAACGTGTTGGATGGTGACGTTATTTAGTTGTAATCTAATCTAATGTTTGTTTTTAATCTGTCCTTGTTTGGTCAGGGAATGGATGACGTCCAGGTGCGCGGAGCAGCTACAGACATTTTCTCGTACCTGGTGGAGTACAATCCGTCCATGGTGCGGGAATTTGTGATGCAGGAGTCTCAGCAGAACGACGACGTAAGAGACTAAATGCATGAGATGTTTGCGATAGTGTTTGGAGCCGTACTCACTGTTTGTGCTTCCAGGACATCCTGCTCATTAACCTGATCATCGAGCACATGATCTGTGACACAGACCCGGAGCTAGGGGGCGCCGTGCAGCTCATGGGCCTGCTCAGGACGCTGGTGGATCCAGAGAACATGCTGGCTACGGCCAACGTGAGTCTGACACATTCACACACGCACAGACAGACACACACAACATAAAGGACAAGAAACTCCTCATTTAACTGAACGTGCTCTAAACTACTAGCCTGATTTATCAGCCGGTTTCACTTCATGGAAACCATCTGACCTCGCAGCATTAGAATTTGTTCGCTTGACGGAAGGCGGGTACTTCTTTTTATTTAACCAATCGCTGCTATTTGGTCGTGACGTATGTAATGCGCCAAATCGCGTAAGAAGAAGCAATAACATCTTTCCCCTTGATAAAATTCACCAAACATTCTCTTTGTCCGATCTCGGGAATCGCCGCCAACACAGAATGTCTGTGTTCGTCTACATCCATCTCGACCACTTTGTTAACTGTTGTGCTGTTCCACAAAAGGGACCCAGACAGGCGTGACGAGTTTGACGTCATGGCTTCACAGCTCTTCTCTGATTTAGTCCGTGCGCGGTCTACAACTTCCGGGGTTCTTGAAAACAGTCTAGTGTATTCCGATTCCTGACTGATTCCCGCCCTCCTGTAACCAAACACATATTTGTTGTCTTACATTTGTTGCATATTTCACATGCTCTAGTCGTCCTAATATTAGTATTTTGGGGCTAATCTGTATGTGAAAATGCAGAAGTATGAGTTTTGAGCGGTGTTGTCAAAGTTGCTTGCTTCCTTTCTGAAACAATTTGGCAGTACAATTAAACATATCTATATCTATATTGGAGCTGAGCAATTTATTGCATTAATTTGATTTAATTCAGGTTTTTAATGATCAGATATAGAAAAGTTGCAAAATAGTGAAATCAGGGATTATTATGGAACAAGTTTACCTTTCTTATTTCTTCAATAATATGATACGTAATGAGCTTTTTCTATTTGAAAAACTATCAGTGCCTCCTCTGACTTCCATTAAAATTGTCCAGTGAGTGCAAATAAACAGATTTTATGTTTTGGCCATGATGAACGTCCATGTAGCAACCAGATCAACCCGACTTTTTACTGATTTGCTGTCCGCACGGTAATAATTTGAAGATCCAAAAGCAATAAGAACTTGGAACAGTCCAAATGGTATTGAGTTAGTTGTATTAATCAATATTCTTACCATTTTTTTATTCCAGAAAACGGAAAAGACTGAGTTCCTGAGTTTCTTCTATAAGCACTGTATGCATGTTCTGTCGGCGCCGCTTTTAGCCAACACCACAGAGGACAAGCCCAGCAAAGGTACGTTTTTGGAATTTATGTTTAATGTTTAATAGTCGAAATCTGTTCAGAGTTCACACTTTCCAGGAAAATACTAAAACATGAACTGAAACCGGTACATTTCTGAGCGTGTTTGTACAGATGTAATCCTAGTCTGTTTATATAAATGGACATAATTAACCCGCTAGTCGCCATTTTCCAAATAGGAAGTGAACATGGGCGCGCTTCTGGCTCCATCGACTCCAGTTCCAATTCACTTTGTATTGTAAAAACATTGCTCCTCTCCTCTCTCTGTGTAACTGCTGCTTTCAGGCTCCTCATTTTGGTCTTTCAATGTTCATATTAACCCGCTCTACGTGATCCTGGTGTTTTTATTTCACTATTTTATCTGTAAATCTGTTCCTTTTCCTAATGTGTAACTCTGCTCCAAATTCCTGTAACTGCCATCCTCTGTGAGCTTCGTTTGACTGGAGCCGAACACTATAGAGCTGCTGCAGAAAGCCTGAAGAAAATCTGATTATTTAACCTTTTTATCCGATTTACAAAGCTCCAGATTGACGGCAGGGTAACAGGGTAACGGCTCATCGAACCAGTCATGAATTAAGCCATGAATGTATTTTTACATTGATATTTTTTTCTTTATTTGGTTTAATTTGACTGATTAAACCGTAGTCACTACCAGGCTGCCGGGAAGCTACGAATCTGCATCTCCCCAAAGAAAAACACTTGTACTTTTCCATTTATTATCATTTATTTATAGGCTTGGGAGTGAGAAACACAATTTCGATTCTTATGTTTTGTATGAAGAATGATTCAAAAACTGTAAATTTGTGTATTGTGGCTAAACACTAAACAGTCTCTTAATGAAGCAGGGAGTAGACTGAAGAGAAACAATCCCAAACTAAAGTTACATCAATGATTTTTATTTATTTTTTATCACATTGACATGAGTGATTTATCTGCTACGTAGCTACAACATCTGCACACGAGCCAGAACACATTGCGTTCTGTTTCGCTATTTTATCAATTTCACATCATTTAAACTGTCAGTATCAGTGAACGTTACACTTTCAGGGCTTTATAATAAAGTCTATTTTTCACAAACGTCTCCATGGTAGCTTTTTTGATGAAATAAGAAAGTGAAAAGTAAACCAGATGTCCAGATATTGCGGAATTAATGAAAAATTAACTCATTCTATACTTTAAAATCTCTAAAATCACACCCAGACCAGTTTAACTCATCTTTAATCTGATTAGTTTAATGAATAATTATTGCATTTTTGTAATTTAATAACAAAAAACTAGTTAATTCACCACGTTTACCACAGATTCACGTGGGTGCATGTCAGGCTCCCTTTAGTGCGCTTTTTATACAGTTTATGGATCTAATCTACAGGTTTAGCAGCAGAATAAATTTTGATATTTTGTTGTTTGTGGAGGAAACTACTTAAAAAATCGCAGCCAATTTTTGATTTGCCAATTGTGTCCATTTCAAATTGCGATTAAGCTTGCAGCCGTCACCCTAATCGTGGTCTGTTTTTACCCTGTCAGATGACTTCCAGACGTCTCAGCTGTTGGCCCTGATCCTGGAGCTGCTGACGTTCTGCGTGGAGCACCACACGTACCACATCAAGAACTACATCATCAACAAAGACATTCTGAGGAGAGTGCTGGTGCTCACCGCCTCCCAGCACGCCTTCCTCGCACTCTGTAAGTTTCCCCCCCGTGTCCCCCGGTTTTAGTAATACTGCTGCTTCTTGCCTAGCCTGGAATGTTCCGAAGTACGGCATTAAAGCTGAACTATTCTGCAAAATCGACTTATTAGAACTTATTAACCAAGTTGTATATAGTGTTAATCTTTATTCTCCTGTATTCAAGACATCATTGCTCCGAATCTATGCCCATTTTCACCTCCACGGTACACGCCCTCTGCTCTGTACTCTCTTCTCCAGTTTTATTTTCTTCTTTGGTGTAATGTGCAGCTATCCATCAGAGGCGTTGATAACTTCACAGCTCTTTGTTGTGATGACGTTGGGCACTGCAGTTTTCAAAATCAGTGGACTCGTTTGTTATATTTAGGCAACCTTTATATGATGACGGTCTGAGCAGAAGACGCAAAAGTGGCGGGACGTCTTCACTTTTTATTCTGCGTTTAGACGAGCGTTTTCGGGAGGAAATCTGCGTGCATACGGTGACGCAAAAATGTATGGAATTTGATTGTGTTTACATGCCAGGCGGCTCGGTGGTGGCGCTCGGTGGTGAGTTATGTGACGTAAACATGTACACAACGTGAGCACCAGAGTTTTGCGTCTTGGGCAGTGTAGACGGAAACGCTACGGTGGAGCATATTCAACTTTTCCACTCTGGAGGGTGGTTTCAGATTTTGGGATTTTTAAGCCCCAAAAACGCCGTCACCGTCTAAACCAGACATGTCAAACTCAGGCTCGGGGGCCAAATTTGGCTCACAATATAATTATATTTGGCCCACGAGATCATATCAAATATGTATTAGAGCTGGCCTGCCGACTACAGATTGGTTTTAGAGTCATTATTTATTTAACATTTTATTATTTTTTATTCTGCTTGTTATGGATTCATTGTTTAAGTGAAACTATTATTAAATATTTATTTTAAAAAGAAAAGGTTTAACATTATGTATCTCGAAAGAAGAGAAAACATGCAGATGCTGTTTTTCAGTAAATATTTAGTTTGGCCCACGAGTTAGTCACAGTTTTTAATTTTGGCCTCTGAACTTGAGTTTGACACCCCTGGTCTAAACGAAAGGCACTTCCGATAAAATATTTTGTAGTTTAACCCTAAAAGTATGATTAATTCTGCACATGTAAGTGCTGTAAAGTAATGGAAAATTCACTTTCAGTCACGGAAAGGTTTTTAAATTTTGTCAGTGAAAAAGAGTGGGAACCCTGGTAATCCCATCAGTATAATTTTGTCCCACATAATTAAAAAGGCTTCTTGTTTCTTGTGTTTGTACAGGTGCGCTGCGCTTCATGAGGAGAATCATCGGCCTCAAAGACGAGTTTTACAATCGCTACATCATGAGGAACTTCCTGTTTGAGCCGGTGGTCAAGGCCTTTCTCAACAACGGCTCGCGCTACAACCTCATGAACTCGGCCATCATCGAGATGTTTGAATACGTGCGCGTGGTGAGGACACGGACACTACAACGGAAAGCAGTGTGCAGCAGGAAGTCATCTATTTTGGAGTGCTTCAGAGTAGATCAGATTATAAAATCAGATGATACTTTGTTTGAAACGAAGGGAGGAAAATTGATTACCCTCGTATCTTAAGAATCATCCAGTACTGTGAACTGACCAGAAACGAGCACAAAACAGGGCTTTTATTACTTAAATTATCTGTTTATAATGTTGTTTCACACACACAAATATTCCTGGAGTTGTATAAAAATAAAGAAATCCAGGAGTAAAAGTAGTAAAGAAGTAAAAATCGCACGAGGAAAAGTATAGCCTTGATGAAGACCAGTTTGATCGAAACACGTTGGCTTTGGCGATCTAAATAAATTCCCTTTAACTATATTTTTCCTCGTGTGATTTTTTTTTTAACTTCTAGATTTCTTGGGTTTAAAGTTTTGATCCTTTTTCCAAGAGCGCCCTCTACCTGCTCCCACTGACTGGAACCCCTGCAGCAAACAGACACATTTTTGTTTGTTCTGCACTTTCCTGGAGTTGTGTTTTGTTTCATTCATTCATCTCTCAAACAGAAAACGCTCTGTTCCACTTTGTGATGTAATGCAGGAAATGCTCCACTATGTTTTTAAACAATATCCGAATGATTCTAGTGAAGCTGTATGATTTCAGCCCTGGAATTGTCACTCTTTAAAATGTAAAAGGAGCTGTTAACTTAAACTACCACTGCATGACATCACAAAGTGGAACAGAGCATTTTGAGCTTTGGAGATGTAAACAGACTAATAAACCAGGATTACTCAAACACGTGTGAATGAAACAAAACACAGATTCAAAACCACATTGCACTTTAGAAGGACAGTTGATCAAAACTATCTCTCTTTGTGTTCAGGAGGACATCAAGTCTCTTACGGCTCACATCGTAGAAAACTACTGGAAGGCACTTGAAGACGTCTCCTACGTTCAGACGTTTAAGGGACTCAAACTGCGATACGAGCAGCAGCGAGAACGCCAGGACAACCCCAAACTGGACAGGTGAGAGTCAGCGGGTCAGGGGATCTGTTCCACCTTCAGGTTAACAGCGACCATCTACCTTTTGTTCAGTAGTTTGGCAATTACAGTGAAATGATCCACGAGTCTAGTGAAGGTGTATGGAGTTTTAAAACATAGTGGAGCACTTCCTGTATTAACACATGACATCACAAGGTGGAACAGAGTGTTTTCTGTTTGAGAGGAGAGCTCAGCCTCAATTTGCAGGGTTTGTGTGTTAAATAGGGGTGGGATGAGACACAAGATTGCGTCCACAAAATGAGATTTTGGAATAATTTACAATAATCTGATAAAATCCCAGTTTTGTTCACATGATTTTTTTATTAGTTTACCTTGTTATATATTGTGTTGTGAATATAATTATACAAATGACAAAATTAAGTTATTTTCATCATGTTTTTAATAGCCTAAACTAGGGTTGGGTGGTAATACAGTATTACAGTATCCCGCGGTATCAAAAAGTAGCAACACTATCAGTTTCATTATCGTCATTAAAAAAAAATCAGCTGCGATTAAGGACCTAATATAATATAATTTATTGATACCTAAATTTGTTTGCTCAGCACAAATGAATGTGTGGTTGTATGTTCAGTTTAATGTTATCATGATTTAAAACTAACAGTATCTATAATGTTTCTTTTAACTGCGCGGGGAGATGACGTTCAATTAGTTTTGTTCTGTTGTCATGTGACGCTCATAAGGGAGACCAAGACAAGACGGCTAATGGGTTGGTCCCCAAAAAATACTTGTACTTCTGCAATCTGGCAGCATTTTGGCTTCAGGTGCACATTTCTTTACGTTTTACAGAAAATAAACTTAAAACTGCGTGGCTAATTTGCATGAACTGTAAGCGCCGATTAAAAACAGCTCGTTTATCGTGCGCTGATGCGGTTCAGCTTCTGTCGGACTAAAGGACACAGCTCAGTGGATTATGAGTGTTCTTTCTGTGACAGAGGATGTGTGGATGATGGTGAGTCTGTTCTGTACATGTATCGCATTGGAGATGGTTCATGTGAAACTTTTCAGAGATTATAAGTCTGCAGGTCATACGCATTGTCCGTACAGCGATGCGGATTCTTAGTTTTCAAAAGTCGTACTAGGGCTGGGTATCATTCAGAATTTGCCAATACGATACATATCGCGATACATAGGCCACAATTCGATACATATCTCGATACAGTGAGCTTACGATTTGATATAATTCAGTATGATATATTTCAAATCAGTTCGATACGGTCCAGTAAAAAATAATGTCTAAATCATGGCTGTGATACTAAAGTCTTTGTTAAACCACTTGTGCAAAGTTCATATGAAACACAAACATTTTAATCATCAAAACAGTGGAAATGTCAAATGTGTCACATAAACAAGTTTCCTTCCTCTAAACAATTAACAAAACTGTAGCTGTAACAAAATAATTTAGTAAAATATACCAAAAAAAGACTCTTGGTGATATATGGATACAGCAGCCCACGATATCGATACTGTGTCATCACATTAAACAATACGATATATCGATAATTTCAATATTTCTGCACACCCCTAAGTCGTACTACGGTAAAAGTCGTACTACGGTAAAAGTCGTACTACGGTAAAAGTCGTACTACGGTAAAAGTCGTACCACGGTAAAAGTCGTACCACGGTAAAAGTCGTACCACGGTAAAAGTCGTACTGTAAAATCCTGAGAAGGTTTAACAGTATCAAAATTTGGATACTGCCCAACCCTAAATGCGTGTAAATCCCCACATGCATCATCTGCTGATTATTACAATATACTCAATATACACTTTTACTTTTATACACTTTTTTATTAAATGATTAGATAAAACCGACCCAACTCCTTGCTGTTACTCCAGCTCGTTCTCTCTCTCCCTTTCTCTCTGCTGCTGCTCTACACGCCCACGGTGCAGAGAGACACAGACACACTTTAAACTATGTTATGGCTGAAGAAGGTCTAAATATCTCTCTTTGTATCTTTTTTCAAACTGTTTAAGCGTGGGAAACATCGCTTCTCCGCGCTGTCTGTGGGCGAATTAGAAACGCGTATATTTGATAATATTTCGCTGACTTTTTTAACCAAATTTAGCACTGATTATCTGCATCAGTATTGGTCATATCACCACTAAATAATAACTGGGGCTAAGAGTGTGTGAAAATGTCAAAATATTGAGGGAATATCTATCGCCAAGACTATTTTTTCATGTATTTTACTAAGTTATTTTGTTACAGTGCTACAGTTTTGTTGCTTGTTTAAAAGAAGGAAGCTCATTTATTTGATATATTCACTGTTTTGATGATTAAAATGTGCAAATTTAATATGAAACACACACAAGAAGTGGATTAACAAAGATTTTTAGTATCACAGCCACGATTTAACCTTTATTTTTTATTGAACCAGCCTTTAATTGAACTGGGACAGAGTTTAAAGTGTTCTCTGTCCGAATATGCTGCAGTCTTTTTAAACAAAACACAACTCCAGGTCTGTTTGTGATTAAAAAAACATAACAGAGATCAGAATGAAGCTCAATGTTGCATCTTTAAAATAACTGAATTGTTGTGGCGTGTGTGTGCAGCATGCGCTCGATCCTGAGGAATCACCGGTTCAGACGGGACGCACGGACGCTGGAGGACGAGGAGGAGATGTGGTTCAACACAGACGAGGACGACCTGGAAGAGGCCAAGGCGGTGGTGTCCCCTTCAGAAAAGATGAAGCCAGAACAGGACCTCATGGAGCCCATCAGCAAGTTCATGGAGAGGAAGAAGGGTAACGCCAACTCTCTTTTTATGTTCAACGCACTAAAAGAGGTTACACTTATCTTCTAGAGTTTGGTAGAGGTGTTGTGATTTCAGATGGAGGGCAGGGGACTATAGAACTTTATGGGAGACGCACTGTTTTTGAAAAGAATCTCCAAACTTACGCCATGATCCAGCTTTCTCTGTTCTGATACCGAAAATAGCATTTATTCAGGGTTCCCGCGGTGTCTTAAAAAGTATTAAAAGCATTGAAGTTATGAATTTGGAAATAATACCTTTAAAAACAACTGATAAAGTCTTGAATTTTTATATCTGGATCTTAAAATTTGTGCAGTAACTTCTCCGTATCGCATTTCTCCTCAAAAGTTTAATTTGTCAGGGGCCTTTATTTGGTTAAATAACGTCGCCTAAATAAAGAGCAGCGGAACCAATCATTGAGAATACATTTTCACATTTGTTTGAGAAATAAATGAACGCAAATTCCTTTTTTTCTTTCCAAAATTTCTTTCCTGGTGGGTATGTGAAATAGGCTGTGAAAGGTATCAAATTTTTATATAAATGGTCTTAAAAAAAACTTGAATTTATTGAAGAAACCTCAAGGAACCCTGTTATTTTATTTTTAAACACAGTCTATATGCACTATTAATTTTGGCTTAATTCTGTTACTGTCATACAGCACCAAAAATGCTTAAATACATTCAAGATATTATGACGAAGGAGAAGTTATTAGACACAAAAATGTACACTAAGAGGCATTAAAAAAGTCTTAATTTTTCGATATTATTTCTCAGTTTAACAATGAATTCGGTGTTACAAATTTTAATGATATTGAACATGAAACAGTAGAAAAGGTAATCGAAAAAAACAAAAGAAAAAATCAGCCACAGATAACAAATGTCAATATCTCGTGTGTCCAATAACGCTTGTACTCGTCGTGGCATAGAAGTGATAATTGTTGATTTCAGCCACCGGAATCGCGTCCCACTCTTCCAAGAGAGCAGTACGAAGATCCGCGACAGTTGCTGGAAGTGGGATACGACGGCGCACACGGCGATCCAGATCGTCCCAGAGGTGTTCTATCGGATTCACATCTGGAGAATAAGGCGGCCAGTCCATAACCCGCGCGTTGTTTTCGGCCAGACACTATTGACAGATGCGTGTGATATGCGGATGTTAAAGTTGGCACCAATGGCCTGCTCTCTCTCGTTTCCTGCTAAGCGTGGCATGATGACCGCGTGTGACATCTTTCATTTTTCCCCCAGGTTTTTAAAGCCTTCACCAGCTGAGCTCAAATGATCGAAAGAACTCCTCGAAAGTTTTCAAACAAGTAGGGATTGGCACCGTCCGGCACGTTATTTTGTTCTTTGGGCTGAAAGGTGTGGCTCCATTGTTTCATAACCCACGACTGATCGTAAACAAAATAGTTTTCATGTACAAAATAATTTGGCATTTAACTTTGTTGCGTTTTTAATGCCTCTTAGTGTATAATAACCCAAGCAAAAACTAAATCTGTACCAGGGGTCTCCAGCCTTTTTCCACTGGAGAGCTCCTTTTACAAAGCTACTTATTTTAGCAGTCACAAGAAATTGAGTAAAAAAATTGACTACACAGAATGTTGTGATCTGAAACTTGTTTTTTAGACATTTAAAGGTTTACTTTTCCGCTACCTGCTTGTCTCCTTGGATCCATGTTGTTGTTTTGCCTGGAATGTTCCATGGCATGGCATTAAATACAGTATATTCATCTAGCATTTACTCATTATGGGTGTTTCTATCGCTGAAAAATATAAAAAAATCCTGTGAATAAGGGCGACTCTCCACAGATCTGAATTGTGAGGTGCCGTGGCGGACCTTCCACTAGAAATGTTACGCAGTGCACCTTTAAATGTAAGAATGATGAAGTATGAGAATGACCAGAATAAAGCCTTCAGTTTTCTACTAAAGATGAGAAATAAAATCCTTCTGTGTTCCTCTGTCCCTGCAGTAAAAGACTGTGAGGAGAAGGAGGTGCTGGGGAAGTCTGCGCTGTCCGGGAGACCCAACCCCAGCTTCAAACTCTCCTTCTCCGGCTCCACCAAGTCCAGTCTGTCCAGCCCCCCCTCGGCCTCGCTCAACCCGGGCTCTCCAGGCTCGCCGGGGTCTCCGGGCTCAGGGCCGCGTGGCTCCCCTCCGGCTGCCGTCACTACTAAGGTATGAACGAGAACTCACCAGGTGTGTGAGTGCGTCTGAAGTGTTTTCTGTGTAGTGAAATATCAGACCATCACTGTTGGTTTTAAAAGACCTGCGCCTGATTTCAGTCTAGTCTTGTCAAGTTAAATTTTCCCACAATGCCTGATGTAAAAACTTGATAAATAAGAAAAAAATGAGACTATAAAATTGTATCTATTCATCTGATAATAACGATACAGGAGCTACTGACAGGGTCACATTTTTTCATCCAACAGTTGAATCAGGGAAACTGTCAGCTGCTGAGACTTACCTTATCTTTCAAAATAAAATCAATATTTGATTTCAACGTGTTGATCTCAGGATACAGGTTGGGTTTGGTGTTTGACGTATCTGGAAAATTCATGTAAATACTGCCTGATGACTAGTTGTGCCCTTCTTTAAAATTCTCTGTTTGTTGATCTCCTGTCCAGGGTGGTCTGGTGGGTCTGGTGGACTATCCAGATGACGACGACGAGGAGGACGAAGAGGATGAAGATGGCGAAAGTAAAGAGGACTCTCTGCCTCCGTCGAAAAAGTCCAAAGTGAGCTCCTAAAGCCACTGCCCTGTGCCCTAACGGGCTCCAGAGACTTGGGCACCCCGATGAATGAAGCCACCGCAGCGCCCACAGCCCAGAGCCGGCTCTTCTGAGGAGCCCACCTGCAAAGTGCCAATCAGGAGACAGACCACCACGGACACACCCCCGGGAAACTAAGCCACTCCCACACTCCTATGCTTTGAGCCGCTCCCACACGAGAACCTGGCTCTGAGCCTCCCTCTGGTTCTACAAGTACTTTTGATTTTTCCCATAGTCTAAACTGGACGTGGTCCAGGTCTAAAGGAAGCTAGATACCACTACGGGAAAAATGAATGTAAATGTACCTGGAGTAACCAGGCGTGTGGCTGAAAGCCGAGGAGTCGAGGCGTCTGCGTCGGCAGTTTGACTCAAAGACTCCCCCAGGGAGAGCACTGGGGCTGGACCAATGCCCCACTGCCCCAGCCCCCACTCAGGGAAGGACTACACAGCGACCCCTACTGGTCATCCAACCACACCACCACACGCACCCTTCCTCTCCTCCTTTTCTCTCCACTCTTTCAGTCTCTGCTTCTGTCCCTCTTTTAATTTGTTTTATAGGACCAGGCGGGACAGTGTCTCCGTTTGATGATGTCATCAGTGTCGTTTCTCAGCGGACATTTCTTTCTCTGAAGAGAAAAACAAGCCAGCAGTTTGTTTGAAGCTGTCCTTTACATTGAGTTTGTCTGAATCTCTCCTGTTTTGTAAATGACTCAAAGACCTGCCTTTAAATGTTCAGGACGTTTTCAGTCACACTTGAACAGTTTTTTAAAGACCTCCGTAGGCTGAGCTAGTTTTACCCTTTTTGCCCTTTGAAACTGCAAGTTTTTGGAAGAATTTGTAATCCCGTCTTGATTAAAGATTGAGTGGAATTCTCGATGTGATGGATTTTGTCATATCTTCTCATTTTTTCCTTTTACATACGAGTGTACTTAGTTGTTGAAAATACTTGGGACCATTAAAATGATGCTGTAAGATATTCTACTTCCCTTTGTCTACGGTCTTCACTTGTCACCAGCAAACGGCTTCACTCTGATGATCCTGCAGGGGGCGCTGTTGCTCCGTCACAGAGCAGGGTTCCAGGTGCAGGTTTACATGGTCGGATGTTACTCGAACACAACACGGATGACAGAAGTTCCACAGGTGCTAACGAGACACGTGGATCTGTTAAAGCCAATTGAAATGACTTAATTTTCCTTCTAAAACTGTCACGGTTATTAATTTATAGCTCTTTAGATATTAATTGATACTGAAAGTGGTATCAATACTAAAAAGTCACATTCACAGGATAGAAATGAAGCTTTCCTGAATGTCTTTAGAATAATTTCGAGCTGTATCAGAGCAAGTTTAAGAGCACACAGACGAGTAAACGCTCATGGACACTATGGAACCGACCTGGACCACTGAGGGATTACACAGATATAAAACCACATGAGAATACAAAAGTACTACAATTTAATGTTGAAAATCACATTCTATTGTCTAAATAAAGAGTTTTTATTATCACTGTGGTATCAGAATCGGTATTGAGTATCGAGTCTATTCCTTGGAAATGAAATAAAGTCACAATACTGAAATTTCAAAACAACACTTACCTTTTTAGGAGTACATTAAAACCTGAATAATCTGAAGTATCACCAGTATAATAATCTAGACCTCCCGAAACACTTGGGGATGTAACTCGGGCTGGGTATCATTAAGAAGTTGCCGATACGATACATATCTTGATACAGTGAACTTTCGGGTCGATATGACTAAGGATGTAACAATAACTGAAATATCGTGATATCGCATCGTCAAAGTTCTCACAATAATATCGTGGACCATCACAATATATCGAATTACAAGACTTTTTGCTTAAATTAAGAGTTACGGTGCAGCAACAGCTAAAAAAAAAAGAAAAAAAGAGAGGGAACTACATAGACCATGAGCCTTTGCTCCATTTCAGTGCAGACTACAAGAAGAAATAACAGTTCTAAGCACTTTTAAGTTTTAGTTCTTTGGGTTAAGTCTTGTCAAGGCATTTTCAGAGGAAAAAGTAGATTATTAACCTCCACAAAATATCGCAATAAATATACCGTGAGATGTATATCGTATCAAGAGATTTGGATATTGTTACATTCCTAATCGTGAGCCTCCCCTCCATATCATGAGCTTTTCCAAGATATAAATAATAAATATAAATAATAAATATCGTATCGTGAAACTTGGATATCATTACACTCTTAGATATGATGTATTTCAAATCGATTTGATACGGTTCAATAAAAAATAATGTCTAAATCTTGGCTGTGATACTAAAAGTCTTTGTTAAACCACTTCCTGCGCAGAGTTCATATGAAACACGCCCATTTTAACGCTCAAAAACAGTGAAAATAAACGAGTTGCTCTAAACAAGCAACAAAACTGTAGCGCTGTAACAAAATAATTTAGTAAAATATACTGAAATATAGTCCTGGTTCAGTCCTGGTTCAGTCCTGGTTCAGTTCGGCATCGCAGTTTAATCACGTAAATTGGAAACGACCGTTATCCATTTTTTTCCATTCTTCATTTAAACACAAAATCAAAAACTGAAAAAAAGAATCATTATCCGTTTTTTTTATTTTGATTTTGGAGACAAATAATGAAGAAAACTATTATTTTTTCATTTTCTTATTTTTGGTTTTATATTGAAAAACGAATGAACGAATAATACACGGATTCTGCCTTACAAAAAACACCTCTAAAATAAAAACGACGCAGCTTTAGTCCAAGCATGAGGTAAAATTATAAACGTTTATTTTGTAAATGAGCTTAAACAGGCCGGTCAGAGTCAAACAAAGAACCGTAAGCGGCCGGGAGCTGTACAATGTCCAGGTCTGCTCTATGGTCTGACGAAAAATTGAGCTTAAAATACTGTGTTCCACCTTGTGATGTCATGTAGTGGTAGTTTAAGATAACGGTTATAAACAAAGACGGGCAATTCCAGGGCTGAAATTACTCCCATTCTAGAGAAGGTGTCGAAGTTTAAATGGTGTTTCCCAAACCCATATTTTAAAATTCACAAATCTTCACGACCCAAGTCAATAAACATTGTTCGTAAATCACAAAATAAAGTTGGATTTGAGCATTATTGAACATTAATGAGGATATTTTATTGCTGACTGAGTGATCGTGTCTGAACAATTAATACTACTCAAGTTTTAAAGAGCCCATCTCATGCAAAATCAACTTTTCAGAGCTTTCTACCTTCTAAGAGTGATGTGTGGGCCTTGTATTTGTCGCCGAAGTGGTTTTTAGATTGATTCGGTGTTGTTTTTTTAACAAATTGCAGCGTATTTCTGCCACCCTCCCACGTGACAACGAACTAAAGCTGCTACAACGATGACGCGGCAGCTACACCTATGATGCGTTTGAAGTAGCAGAAAGCGCTTCACATTTTTTTCTTTTCAACATTCAATTGAACCAGCAACATTGGAACAAAATAGTCAATAAAATAATTATGTGTCATGTGTCAGAACTGTATATTGCAGACCTACATGCAGATCGTGACAATGCGACCCAAAAAAAAAAAAAAAAATGCGACCCGGTCTTTGAAAAACAATGGTTTAAAACACAGTGGAGCACTTGCTGTTTCAATACATGACATCACAAGGTGGAACAGAGTGTTTTTTGTTTGTCTGAGAGAAGAACTCAGGATAAATCTGCAGGTTTGTGTGAGTGAAACAAAACACAACTCCAGGTAACGGTTTTTGTGATGAGGAAAAACGAAACATGTGGAAAAAGTCCTCAAAGTGTCTGTAACGAAAAGCTGAAACGCACAAATAAACATCAGGATTTGTTGAGTCTTAATCCAGTTTCATAATCTGAAGTCAATTTCACTAAACCCAGGAGGAATGTATCTGTGAAAACGAGTTAGATTTCACCAGGATTATTCGGTTTGTGCTCAGTGACGGGACAAATACCGTGAAAATATATTTATAGAACACTGAAAACCTGCATTAAACGGTATTTTGTAACATATTTTGATACACGGTCCAATCAGAGTTCTGTATTCTGAACGCTTATACACACATTTGCGTATAAATTTTAATGTAAAGACACAACAGAGCATTAAAAAACAGCTTTATATTTGTTTCACGTTTTGTTCTGCATTTCATATCACTAATTAGAGAATGAAAAATCACACGTGCGCTCGAATCCGTGTTTCATTTGTTCATTCGTTTTTCAAAATAATCTTTTAAACCATTATTTCCCACAGACTGGGTCAAGACCCTCAGGTGAGTCGCAAGACATTTATTTTTGGTTCGCCTTGTCACGATCTGCATGTCGGTCCAAATAGGCTCCTTATGGATCCTTTTATTGTTGGTTCAATTATCAGTGTTTCCCACAGCAATTTATAGTTGATTTATTTAATGAGACAGGGACAGCACACAATTTTTACATTAACCTTTGCAGGAGAGATGCTTTGTACCAGGTTGTAGCACCATGGATTGATTGTATTTAATTGACCTTAGCTAGTAACTAGGGTGACCAATAGGGTTATAACTTTTTGAACTTTTTTTCCAAAATCAAAGTCCTGCATCATGATTGGATGAACTTTTTGGTATAACTGAAGAAACCAAACTCCATTTTCAACACTCTTTTAAAAAAGTCCCCCTGAAACAAAAAAATATTAAATACACATTACAGCCAATGAAATGAAATGTGAAACTGTGCTAAGTTCTCATAAGGTCCGTTACAAGTCAATTTCACTGAAAATGGATCAATAAGTTGTACTGCCGTCATGATATGCTGGAGTTTCAGTTTCTATTCTTGTTTTCACTTTATAAGCCATTCGATTCATCGTTGCGAACAACACTGACAATCATCATTTTTGGACTTTTAGTGCCTATTTTATATGATCTTTACCCTGATTATGTGTTTTGTTCCTGTGTTATTAAAGAGAAAATTGTCTTGATTGACATGATTGAACAGATATTAACCTTCTAACAGTTTTATTCTGGTTGTTGGTCGGCTTTACCAAAACTTCATTTTGAGTCTGGGGGGACTTTTTTCAAAAATATGACCAACTGAAGGTCAGTTCCTTTCATTACTAGCAAAAGTTCATCAAAATATGATACAGGGTATAGAGGTTGTAAAAAAGTTATAACACTAGTGACCAAACGTACGTTTTTCCCCGAACATGTCTGTTTTTTGCAGCCTGTCCTGGGCGTTCGGGTTTTTTTTTTTTTAAGTGATGGAAATGTCCAGAGATCCGGTCGCCGAGGTCCCCGCCTTCGACCGCCGCCCGGATCTTCTTGTCCGGGTTTTCATGATCTTTCATTGGGGCCATTAAATTGAGCGACTCTCGTAGCTCTCTGTGCATCAGAAGGAGCGAGCAGACACAAACAGTCGGTCAGTCTGCACCATTCTGAAGCACAAATGTGCATTTAACGATGACTTGTTCAAGAAATTCCCTGTTTTCCGTCCCGGTCGAGACAAGTGTGAGGTCATGTGCACGGTTTGCGAGGTGAGAGTAGCTCAATGTCGAGGCCCCACCCCCCTCATCCCCGGTGAGGTGTCCGGGTTTTCACAAACGGAAATATCGCCACCCTACTAGTAACTGTTCTTCCTGGAGACCTGTAGCGTGTTTTGGGTTGATAGTTCGAGCCCCCGCCTTGACCACGTCCCTCCTAACCACGTGAATCCTCGCAGAACTACGGTCATCGCACATCCTCACATTTTCCCCGTGCAAGGAATCTCCACTGGGAAACACCGATTACTGATTTTCATTGTTTAAAACTACTAATTTCACTCAGTCAACAATAAATTATCCTCATTAATGTTCAATAATGCTCAAATCCACTTTTATTTTGTGATTTACGAATAATGTCTGTTGACTTGGATCGCGAAGGTTTGTGACTTTTAAAATAAAAATGGGTCCCTAGAAAAAAATAGTTTAAAACAGTCCCAAACTTGTCTAATTTCGACAGGTTTTGGTCCTTGTTTACATCATGTGTGTCATATCTGATATCCAACCAGAAAGTAAAATTATAACCAAAATCACAAAACTAGAAAAGACAACGCAATTATTTTATTTTATATTTTTTGTAAAATCTGAACTGCGTTTTAGTGAAATGAGTACCGTAGTCTAACCTGTCATATGCACTTTAACATACCCAGGAGCTTAAAGACGCATTGTGTAACTTTTCCGGTGGAGGGTCCGTCAAACGCTTTTCTCCGTGGACATGTTTTTGCTTTGTCTGGAATGTTTCACAGTATGGCATTAAACGTTTCTACTGTACCTTCACGGAGACCAAACCAGACCAAGTTTCAGGTCAGATCTGTGGGGAATGTTTGTTTTTCACGGTATTTTTGCGCTTTAAAACCGTCTGTAATTGAATAAATGTAAGTTAGAGCTGTTTAAAGTCACACTGTGGAACATTCTAAGCAGAGCAATGACGTATCCATAGAAACAAACAGGTGACGCACCTTAAACGAAAACTTACACAGTGCACCTTTAACAGATGATTGACAAAAATGGGATAAATAAATAAAAAAATAATAATAATATGAATTTTAAGGGTTACACCTTTTTATGGACCGTCAAAGGATAGACAATAAAAATATTTTCAGGATAATTAAATTGCAAGATTCGAAAAAAAATCTTTTACAACACATCAAACATTAGAAAGAAAAGAAAATGTACCCAGTTGTACAACCGCTTACACTTCAGGCTATTCATGTTTTTAGAATAATTCAATCTCTTCATCTTAATCTTTCTAAACCCCCAGAAAGGAGGCAGGTGCTGGAGGGTCAGGTCCAGAGGGACGGTCTACAGAGGCAATTAAATTTAAGAGCGGGTATTACACTTCTATGAGGTATTACCGTATTTTTCGGACTATAAGGCGCACTTTTTTTCATGGTTTGGGTGTTTCCTGCGACTTATATATTAAAATATTCACACTGAAGCGTCGAGAGGTTCTAGTCTTGTGTGTGAGTATCTGCTGCTCCTGTTCCTCCTGTACCACTGTCACTTTGCTCTACTGCGCATGTCTCCTGCAGTAAGAGCCTCTGTCCTGCTGCAAGTGGAGCAGCAGAAAGAAAGTTTGGAGTGAGTCAGAAACTTGTGAGGGACTGGCGGCTTCACGACAATCGGGAGGATATGTGAAGAATCCCTCAGTCGTCCAGGTAGAATCCATGACGAGGAGAAAATTCAGTTTGTCGACTGGACAAAAGGTAGTTTGGTTGAAGACGTTTCGCAGCTCATCCAAGATGCTTCTCCAGTTCTGGTCAGACGCTGGTGGACACTTCCTTATATCTGTCTGCAGGGAGGAGCTAACTACAATTAAACTACTATGAAACTAACACACCTACTTGTTTACAGTTTCTGTTAGTTAGTTCAGCCTATTGACCTGTACTGGGTGTGGGGTCAAATTAGACACCTTCTATCTCCTATTTACAACTCCATCCTCAAACCTAATTCAAAACAAACAACAGGTGTATCCAGGTCAGGTCCAGAGGTGTGGAAGCTCCATTATGGCCATGAATTGTTCTGCTAATTAGACCCCACACCCTGTACAGGTCAATAGGCCGAACTAACAAACAGAAACTGTAAAAAAGTAGGTGTGTTGGTTTCAGTGTAGTTATTTCCTCCCTGCAGACAGATATAAGGAAGTGTCCACCAGCGTCTGACCAGAACTGAAGAAGCAGCTTGGATGATCTGCGAAACATCTTCAACCAAACTTTTGTCCAGTCGACAAACTGAATTTTCTCCACGACAATCGGGAGGACGCACCATGAAACTTTCCTGAAGTCACTGGATGGATGGACAAAGTCTGAACTTCAGTGACACCGAAACCATCCTGTCGGGATTCAGAAAAGTCGACATAATTCTAACTGGAACTGATGCTGTGTCTGATGACAGCGACACAGAAGAGGAAGAGGCGCTCTGTTTACCTCTGGAGGTCATGGAGTTTCTCAAAAATGACACCGAGGATGAAGAATTGAATGGATTTAGTGATTTGGAGTGAGATGGAGAGTTTGTTAAACTTGTTCTGTTCTGTTGTTTATGTTATAGTTTATCTGAAGAACTGTTCATATGTGACGTTAACAGTCTGTTGTTCTCTCTTCTATTGTTTTTACTAGAACTTGACTTTTAAGATGAAATGTCAGTTCCTGGTCTCTGATTTTATAAAATACATTTCTCGAAAAAAGTGAGACTTATATGTTTTTTCTTTTACATCCCATATTTTTTGGCTGGTCCTACTTATACTCTGGAGAGACTTGTAGTCCGAAAAATACGTTACATCCCGCTAATGAAACTACTGCACATTACAGGTTTGTAAAGTCGTTGTGCTGAGTTTTATATCACATTTTTGTATATTTATGTAGAACTGTCAAGTGGGAGCATGAGACATAGACTTGTGAGTCGAGTATTGCACAGAATCTTAAAGGTAATCATAAAGGTGGGTGGTATAATACCGAGGGTGACCACATTTTCAAAATAAAAAAAACAGGACATCCCTGGTGGTTGGTAATAATAAAATCGTGAAACAAGTGCGTAATTCAGCAATAATGTGAGTCAGTACAGTCACATTTTCTTTGTGTTTTGGTCACTTTTAAGCAGCTTTTCTGTATTTTACCTAAACAAATGACAATTTATGCCTCTCTTTACTGTTGGCAGGGATCAGATTAGTGAAAAATAAGGACATCTGGGACATTTCTTGTATAAAACTATGACAAATCAGCAGTTTTGGATAAATCTGCTGGGACAGGGGACACAGGGCTCAAAACTAGGACTGTCCCGGGTAAATAGAAACATCTGGTCACCCTGATAATACCCCTAAAGTAATAAATATAAAGTTATGGACGGGGTTATGGTGATAGTTTGTGCCTCTGGATCTGACAATCTAACACCAACCCAGAAGATTCTTAGGTCGGATTGGAATTGTCCACTTGGATGCACGGGCTGGACTCGTCGATTCATCTCATTAGGGTTAATAGTTCCATTAAAATTGTGTTAAGGCATTTCTCCTTCTCTGTCTTTCTCTCCACGGACTGCAGCTGACCTGTTCATACAAGCAGCAAGTATAAAATTCAATACATTATAAATATTCAGTCAAAGAAAAGAAAAGGCAGAATCTTTCGAAGAGATTCCGCTACAGAATTCTGAGCCAGTTCTAAACGGAGTAAAGTGTTGAACCCTTCAGTCGTTCTGCTGGGTCTGGTCTTGTTTCGTGTGTTCTTCAGTCTCGTTCTGCTCGTCGCTAGAGTGAGTCCTGTGTTCTTCAGCCATGTTGTCTTCAGCCTGATCGTCTGTGAGAGGTTGTGCGCGTTCTTCAGTCTGGTCTTGTGTGTGAGGTTCTGGTTGTTCTTCAGCCTGTTCTTCTGTCAGAGGTTCTGCGTGCTCTTCAGTCTCGTTCTGTTCGGCCTCCTCCTGTGTGTGAGTCCTCATGTGTCTCTTGAGTTTAGAGTTTTCATTAAAGCTTTTATTACAGCTTGAACAGCTGTAAGGTTTCTCTCCTGTGTGAGTCCTTAAGTGTCTTCTGAGGTTACAGCGCTTCCTAAAGCCTTTACTACACACTGAACAGCTGTAGGGGTACTCGTCTGCACAGATTTGACTGTGTTCATCCAGAATACTCTGTTCAGCAAAGGTTTTATTACAGGTCAAACACCTGTAGGGCATCTCTCCCGCGTGACCTTTCAGGTGTCTTTTCCATTCAGATTTCTGTGTAAATCCTCTTTTGCAGAAGGAACAGCTGAAAGGTCTTTCTCCCAGGTGTTTCCTCTTGTGGTCGTCTAAAGTACCCTTCTGGGTAAATGTTCTCTCACAAATGGAACAGCTGTAAGGTCTCTCCCCTGTGTGTCGCCTCATGTGTCGGTTTAGATTCGAGCCTCCAGTGAAGCCTAAATCACAGAAGGGACACCTGAAAGGTTTTTCCCCTGTATGTATCCTCATATGTACATCTAACACACTCTTATGGGCAAAGGTTTTGTCACATTCTGAACAGCTGTAAGGTCTCTCTCCTGTGTGAGATCTTATATGCTTTGTAAGGCTGGAGGAGTGAGTAAAGTCTTTCTGACAGATTGGACAGATGTACGGTTTCTCTCCCGTGTGAACAGTTATGTGCATCTGTAAATGCTGTTTTCTTCCAAACGTCTTCATACAAAAAGAGCACTGGAACTTCTTCCCCTCTGCTCCTTCAGCTGTTCCGGAGCCGTCTCCGTTGTTCACAGGAGCGCTGGCGGGCATCTGGACCTGGTTGAAGTGGTCTCCTTCAGCCTCGGTCTCCATCTGTGCAGCCAAACTGAGCGGAGGCCTGGACTCGTCTTCATTGTCTGAAGACTTGTCCGTATCTCCCTCAGTGTCTGAGCTCATGTCCTCCGCCTGTGTGAGCGACAGTTCTCTCTTCACAATCACCGACGCAGGGACAGGCCTGAAAAGTCAATTCAAAACAAAAGAAAATTAGTACAACAGTCAATCAGATATCCCGATGTAGAAAACCAGCTAACCCTCTGCTTTAAGCTGAAGCAGTTTGTATTTCAGTCTCTCTCAAGCCCCATGTCCACTGCACCATTTTGTTTCATCTTATAAGATTATTGGACGCCACACTACACGACACGAGGAGTTTAAATGTTACGACAGCTCAAACACACTGTGATGGTGCACACATCAGTCATGGAAAAGACCAGAGTTTGTTGGAGTGAACAGAAGGCTCTAGTCTCTGTGGTAACGTCTCTGTAATTGTAGTGTTGGCTGAGGGTAGAGCTACACGCCAGTAATGTTTTTGCATTTGTAAAAGTTAGAAAATGAAAGGGAGTCAGTGAAAGACGGTCCTGTTCACTGCAGAGTCCGCTTGTGTTTACTGTTGTGTCTACTCTCTGTTTATATCAGTGGCAGCTTGTCTTGGTCGTATGCCAGTTCCCCCTAGCAACCGGTTTGATTGACAGCACTGCTAAGCGCCCACCCTGTGCCAAACCAGCAGTTCTGGCAGGAATGGGCGTTACCTTCAACAGCCTCGCTCCTCCAGCTCGGCTCCCAGCTCAGCTCTATAACCACTAACACGTACGCTTGGTTTAATTTGTCATTATGGGTCACATCACACAGACAGATTTCCCTCATTATCAGACGATCACAGGCGGCCAGTGAACACCCGCCTTAAAATATTACTACACATGTGAGTAAAATAATGTCTCCAGTTCGAAAAACATATTTGTCTCAGTATTAGTGAGTAAAAACTGAAGTTACAAGCGTTAAGTGTTTGAGTCTTACACTGGCAGCGGCTCTTCCTCCTGTTTGATGATCCGCTCCTCTGCCTCGTCCAGCTCCTCTGACTCTTCTGGCTCCTCTTTAATCTGTGCAGTCTCTGGGATGTCCTCCTCGTTCAGACTGGGACCAGGACCAGGGCTCAGCGGGGGAATCTGGACATCTGCATGAGACATGCACAGAGGTGGGAACTTGGGGGTGTGGTCTGGAGTAGAGAGACGTTTCCTGGAGGATTCTCTCTTTTAAACACAACTGATGTAAGTGGAGTCACAGTTCAGCTTTAACAGAGGCATTATTTTACTTACAGGGCATTCTATTTCATCCCTCCTGAGCGCCAGAGGGCAGTGCTTAAACTAGGGCTGTCGCAATAACTGCAAAAATGAATCCCCGCGGTGCACGTTGAGCCACCGCAATCACCGCATGTGACCAACGTGACCCGACCCAGAGACCTGCACCCACCCGGACCCGTGATGACTCACACACAAATTAACAGCATTTTAACTGTAGCAGCCATCAGAATACAAACAGAAATGTTACGATTTCAAGAACTGCAATCACAAAATGAAATGAAACGGTTACACTTTCTTCAGTTCAAATACAAATGCACAGGCGCAACTCAGCTGTCAAAAATCCATCATCACTTCACAGGCTTCGCAGGACTAAACCAGGACTAAACCAGGACTAAACCAGGACTCCAGGACACACTGTTGACTCGTGTAGACTGTCAGGGGACCGCAGGCAAAAGAACCGGCGTAGAGTTCTGTGCCCCACAGATGCAAGTACAGATGTTGCCCGATCGCGTTTTGCAGACACCCTGCTCCGTGTGTTCGAGGTTCACCCTCTCTTAAGTCCGTGGGTGTCCGACCTGGTGCAGGAATCTGACCTGACCTGCCACAGTGAGAGCTGCAGAGATGCTGCAGCACTTGTTCTAAAGCCAAATGTTACTTCTCCCACTATACACTATATCCGCGCAACAACCAAGGTAGAAATTCCGCAGGAGAAATTCCCTAACCGCAACAGCCCTAGATGAAGGTAACTCCTTCCAAAGAGTAACTGTTTACTTACAGGTGAAGGGAATCTCTCCAGACTGAACTCTAATCTGCATGGGTAAATGCTGCTGAAGCAGAGACGACTCTCCTCTGTTGTCATAGTAACCTCTGGGCATTCGGACAGGCCTGGAAAACAACATCACAAACACAAATTCAGTGAATGCAGTTTAGTCAGTCCAAGAGTCAGAACATATTTATTATCTCCACAGTCTCCACATCAGGGCTGTGCAAAAATATCAAAATATCAATATATCATATCGTTTCATGTAATGATACAGTATCGATATCGTGGGCTGCTGTATCGATATATCGCCAAGAGTATTTATTGATATATTTTACGAAATTATTTTGTTACAGAGATACAGTTTTGTTCCTTGTTGGAGGAAGGAAACTTTTATGTAACACATTTGACATTTTCACTGTTTTGATGATTAAAATGTTTGTGTTTCATATTTTGTTTCATGTTTATTTTTTATTGAACTGTATTGAATCAACTTGAAATATATTGTATTGAATCCTATCGAATTGAAAGTTCACTGTATCGAGATATGCATCGAATCAGCAACTTCTTAATGATACTCAGCCCTACTCTACAGTCTCCACATTTATTTCCTTGACTTCACATCTAAATTTGATTAAAGATAATGAGCTGACTGGAGGTTAAAAAGGTGCGCAGTGTGGAGCTGGAAAAAAGCTCTCAAAATAACGAGGATCTTACACAGAAACACGTCTGTACAGTAAACAACAAGTAAAGAACAAGTTCATAGGAAAAAAAGGAAGACCAACACTGCCACCTGCTGTTCTACTGTAATTTCCCCACTGTGGGACAAATAAAGTTTGATCTGAAACTGTCCGGTCTCTCCCAAAACTCCAGAACTCGCTCCGTGATTTCTCCTCTCCGCTGCTGTTCACAGAAATCCTTTAATCCTAATGAAGTAATTAGTCAACCAATACAAACTGATTAACGGCCGGCTGCACACAGGAGGATTTTAAAACCTTCCTCCAGTTTCAGATTTGACACGAAGTGAGCAGAGAACATTTGTCTCACACGAGCAAAGCGCAAGAGCAGTAATGTAATCAAATACAACGGCACATGTGACACGAAAGAAAGAGTTTATAAAGGCCGCAGGAGTCTTCACACTGTGATCTGAAGAACGGATCCTGTTACGTTTATTCTAGCAGTGAAGATAAATCTAAAAATTAAACATACATGTACATATGTTTGTGTTCTCTGTAGGGATGGGCATGATTAATCGATTAATCGATAATTGATCATTAAGAATTTCGTCGATTACGTTAATTTTAATCGACAAAACGAATGTAGGTTGCTGTGTGAAGCGTGACCAAACAGGGGTCTGTACATGTGTCTCTCTGCACTCAGAAGGAGCGAGCAAACACAAACAGTCGGTCAGTCTGCAGCGTACCGAAGCACAAATGTGTATTTAACAATGACTTCTACAAGAAAGTCCACGCTTTCCGTTGCGTTGGGGACAAGTGGGAGTCCATGTGCACAGTGTACAAAGCAGCACATATGTTCCGGTGTCCAGTGGGAAAAAGTTTTACCAGGTGAGAGTCGCTCAATGTCGATGACGAGGCCCCGCCCCCCTCCCCCCGTATGATGTCCTGGTTTTGACAAACGCAAATCTGGTCACACTAACCTGTATTCCACTGAGTCATGTCTTTTAATCCGACAGAAATTGACCACATCAGCGACACAAGAGCTGTAGTTTTATCTTAGCTGAGTTTATGCAAATTAGCGATGCAGTTTAAGTTTCGTTTCTGTGAGAGTTGCACAAAACTGAATTAAACACATTAATAATTAATAATGTCAAACGGGCTGATGTGGCTCTAGAGTCGTTACGGTTTATATGTCGTAAAGTTGAATTTATTTATGCAGATTAGTAGTGCAGATAGTAATAATAATGATGATCATTTTAATATAAAAACGTTAATGATTAATCGATAATCGATCGTCAATTCTTCCGACGATCGATAAAGAAAATTTCATCGAATGCCCATCCCTAGTTCTCTGCTGTTTCTCCAGTTAAAGAGATGTCACTAGACAGCAGGTGTGTGGTGCATCTGGGCTGCTCTGATCTTAAATAACCTGTATGTTAGATATTGATGGTTTGAGGTTCCGGTCGCCGGAGCCTTTCTATGTGGAGTTTGCATGTTCTCCCTGTGTCTGAGCGAGCTTCCTCCAGGTTTCCCATTCAAAAAAAAAACATGTTCATGTGTAGGTCACTGCTCCTGACAGATGCAGAGAAAGAATTTCCCACACGAGAGATCAGTAAAGAATATCATGACATAAAATATATGTATAAAGTAGGGATGGGCATTCGATGAAATTTTCTTAATCGATCGTCGGAAGAATTAACGATCGATTATCGATTAATCATTAACATTTTTATATTAAAATGATCATCATTATTATTACTATCTGCACTACTAATCTGCATAAATAAATTCAACTTTACGACATATAAACCGTAACGACTCTAGAGCCACATCAGCCCGTTTGACATTATTAATTATTAATGTGTTTAATTCAGTTTTGTGCAACTCTCACAGAAACAAAACTTAAACCGCATCGCTAATTTGCATAAACTAAGCAAAGATAAAAATACAGCTCTTGTGTCGCTGATGATTCAGGTGAATACAGGTTAGTGTGACCATATTTGCGTTTGTCAAAACCAGGACACCGTACGGGGGGAGGGAGGTGTGGACTCGTCATCGACATTGAGCGACTCTCACCTGGAAAAACTTTTTCCCACTGGACACCGACACATATGTGCTGCTTTATACACTGTGCACATGGACTCACACTTGTCCCGACCGGAACGGAAAGTGTGGAATTTCTTGTACAAATCATCGTTAAATACACATTTGTGCTTCATCACGCTGCAGACTGACCGACTGTTTGTGTCTCGCTCCTTCTGATGCAGAGACACATGTACAGACCCCTGTTTGGTCACGCTAAGCACAGCAACATAGAATCGGTTTGTCGATTAAAATTAACGTAATCGATGAAATTCTTAATGATCAATTATCGATTAATCGACTAATCATGCCCATCCCTAGTATAAAGTACTGCAGTCTTTTACGTCTATTTTAACAAACAAAAAAAAAGGCATTTGGGCAGAATTTCTTTAAAAACCCTTTGCCACCTAACTAAACATGATGATTTTTCTGACTGGTTACAATTTCAAACTTATTAACATCCCCATGGAGTTTAGTGTTGGCTGTAATTTGTGTAGAAATGTGAGGAAAGAGTTGTAATTGTTGAAATCCCGTGTGACTAGAACTAACCTGACTATACAATGTCAGAGTAAAGTATTTGACTCTTACACTGGCAGCGGCTCTGGTTCTGGTTCTAGCTCTGGCTCCAGTTTAAAGCTCAGTTCCTCTTCCTCCTCGGGCTCCTCTTTAACCTGTGGAGGCTCCGAAAACGCGTGGTTCAGACTGGGACTCAGGGAGGGCATCTGGACACCTGCAGGAGACAATGGGTGAAATACAGTAAACCAGGATTACACTCGTACCACGCAGTAACTCTTTTCAAAGTAGTGTTGCACAAATCAGCATTTATTTGTGATTAAGCCATTAAATCATGACACATTCTGAAGTGTGATATATTGCTGAAGTAAATATAGACCACCATAATAATATAAATAAATCTGTGTATCATTCGTTCATTCATTTTCCAATATAAAACCAAAAATTTGTCATCTGTCCTCTCCAAAATAAAAATAAAAAACACATATGAATGAAGATAACGATTTGTTTTTTCATTTTTCAATTTTGTGTTTAAGTGAATAATGGAAAAAATTGGTAAGAGCCGTTTCCCGTTTTTGTGGCTTAAACTGCGATCCTGGACTTTTGCGCCGCATACGGACTGAAACAGGACTAAAACAGGACTGAACAGGTCTAAACCAGGTCTAAACCAGAACTGAACGAGGACTAAACCCGGTCTGAGTCCCGGTCTGAGTCCCGGTCTGAGTCCCGGTCTGAGTCCCGGTCTGGTCCTGGTTTCTTGATCACCTACGTGGGTGCACGTCCAGGCCAGTCCTGACACTCTTGGTTCAGTCCTGGTTCAGTCCTGGTTCAGTCCTGGTTCAGTCCTGGTTCAGTCCTGGTTCAGTCCTGGTTTAGAACTGAGACCGGGACCGAGACCGGGACCGAGACCGGGACCGAGACCGGGACCGAGACCGGGACCGAGACCGGGACTGGGACCGAGACTGGTTTAGACCTGGTTTAGAGCTGGTTCGGAACTGAGACCAGGACCGGGACAGGGACGAAGACCAGGACCGAGACCAGGAGTGAGACCAGGACTGAGACTGGAACTGAGACTAGGACTGAGACTGGTTTAGACCTGGTTTAAAGCTGGTTCAGTCCTGGTTTAGTCCTAGTTAGGTCCTGGTTCAGTCTTGGTTTAGTCCTGGTTCAGTCCTGGTTTAGAACTGAGACCGGGACCGAGACCAGGACCAAGACCGGGACCGAGACTGGGACCGAGACTGGTTTAGACCTGGTTTAGAGCTGGTTCAGAACTGAGACCAGGACCGGGACCGGGACGAAGACCAGGACCGGGACCGGGACGAAGACCAGGAGTGAGACCAGGAGTGAGACCAGATCTGAGACTGGAACTGAGACTAGGACTGAGACTGGTTTAGACCTGGTTTAAAGCTGGTTCAGTCTGGTTTAGTCCTAGTTCAGTCCTGGTTCAGTTCAGCATCGCAGTTTAAGTCACGGAAACAAGAAACAGCCATTATCCATCTTCCAGTATTCACGAAAAATGTAAAATCAAAAAATAAAAAACATTATCTGTTTTTGCATTTTGGTTTTGTAGACAAATAATGAAGAATATATTTTTAAAATTTTCTTATTTTTGGTTTTATTTTGAAAAACGAATGAACGACTGATACACGAATTTAAATACAACAATATTGTGGAAAAAAAACATGAGTTGCAATAAATAAATAACAGTATGCAACGGTTAAGTCATGATTTAGTCTCTATAAATGAGTCATCGAAGTTCATAATTCAACCTTCTGCAGCTCAAGCCTCATCATTAGGTCTGGAATTCCCTCATGATTCAATACGATACATGGCTCATGATATGGAGATACGTGTGATAATCGATATGTTGCCCATGATACTCTGTGATATACTGTTGTTTTTTAAGACCCAAATACTCTACAATTTACCAGCAACATTTCTTTGTTAAACCACGACCTGTGGAAAAAGGCATAAACAAGTTTTTCACTAACGCCGGACGTACACTGTGCAATATTTTCAATCATTTCACTCAGCTCCAGCTCAAACTGTACGACCAAATCACAGGGTTTAAAAGTTCACAGCTCACGATTCATGTTCTCACACTATACGGATGACTTCAACTGAACGAAACCCTCACGAGAGGCGACTGGATTTCAAACAGGTCTGATATTCTTGTGACCTACAACTGCAGATTGGGAGCTGGTCATGAGGTATTAATCGTTACCCCGTGCAGGGTCATTCCACGCCAAACCTCCGAATGCCTCCACTCGACCATCTCAGATTTGACTGAAACAATTCTAGGAGGTTCCCGCACTTTCCAGTAGGAAAAGATACAAATTTTAGCTCCCAACTCCTAAAAAATATTTTGTCAACTACCCCCTGACCTGTTTTCCGAGGAGGCACTTTCAGATTACTGTATCTAAAAAACTATTTAAGGTTGGTCCGTCAAATTTTCAAGGGTTAAAATTTGGCAAATGTACTTGTAGAATCTGGACTTTTGATTTATCACAGATTTCTGGGGGCTTGAATTTGATCGAAAATTCTAATCTTCAAATCTGAGGGCGTCTTTGAAGGACTGTGGAAAGTGAAATTTCAAAGACGGAGGTTTGATATTGAACATAAACCTTCCCACACACGCCGCTGTGGACTTTGTGTTTTAAAAGTGACCCTCTGTGATGAACGCTCTAGAACACAGGTGTCAAACATAAGGCCCGGGGGCCGAATGCGGCCCTCCAAGACCTTTAATCTGGCCCTCTGCTGATTTTCTACTAAAATATTTTAATTATAGTTTCTATTAAAATATTGGTAATTTTCTGCGGTGCTTAGCATAGTGGCTCCTCCCACCAGAGCAGCACAAATGAAGACTTGCCTTTTTCCCAACGCTCTTAAAGGACGATCGTTTTTACCTCATCAGCAAAATGTCAAAAATGAGAAAAGTGGAGCCAAGTGCAGGATTTTCCAAGAAAAACTGACTTATTCCTATTTGCATACAAGTTAATGTTAAAACATTGTGTTGAAATTGCATTTTTCCTAAAGTTTCAGGTTGTTCATAATATTATAATGTTTTGTAAAAGAAAGAGTTCATCAATTAAAAAAAAAAAAATTCTGTAATAGATTTGTGTTTCTCTGCACAAATATTTGAATTTATTGTTATTTTTGGGGTTTATATGACATGAGTTTTCTGATCCGGCCCCTTTGGGATCAAAGTCGGTTGGATACGGCCCCCGAACCAAAATGAGTTTGACACCCCTGCACTAGAAGATAGTGTTCAAAATGTAAAGAAAATACATTTGGTGCCATCTTTACCATGTTATACTAAAAAAAATGACAGCACCCACCAACACAAAATGGACTGTTTTAGAAAGACAAGATGTCTGTTTTTAACATATCCAAAATTTGTGGCGTTCTGCCTCTCTGAATTTTTGACAATGACTTCTCACTTCTTTCGAAAGATTAAGCCAAAACTTGGCCCGATCCCAGAAACAGTTACACAAGTGAAAAATCGTCTCAGCAAGGGCCAAAAATCACACAGTGTACGACCGTCTTAAGTAAGCAACCAAATTGTAGTGTGGTCGCACAAAAATGCCAAAAGATACCAAAAACACTCGTGATTCAAGCAAGCTGGAGATTATAATAATTAAATAAAAAACCCGGTTTGAGCTCAGTGACCAAAAAGCACAGTACGGAGTCATGCTGTGGAGTTGTGAAAACACAGAAATGATCAGGGCAAAACCACTAACCAACAGTGTTTAGCAGGGATGTAACGATATCCAAATCTCACGGTACAATATTATCACGATATGCATCTCACTGTACGAAATTTACTGTGATATTTTGGAGAGGCTGATATAATTGCAGATTTTTTGCTTGTAAAATACCTTGAAAAGATTTTGGTGTGAATTATTTCCGTCATAATCCCAAGAATTCAAGTCAAAAACATATTTCTTCATGTTGTCTGCACTAAAATGAATCATGGGATATGTAGTTTCCGAAGTTTATAAGATGTTGCTACTAAAAAAAACATGTCTTTAAGATAAGAAACTTGCGATTCAATATATTGTGACAGCCCATGATATTATTGTGAGACTTTTGACGATACGATATCACGATATTTTGGTTGTTGTTACATCCTTAGTGTTTACTAGGATGCACACCATAGCCATACACAGTGTTGGGAAGGTGACTTTTAAAATGTATTCCCCTACAGATTACAGACCCCAAAATGTAGTTTGTAATGTAATCCATTAAATTACTTAAAGTGAGTAACGTAATCTGAATACTTTGGATTACTTGATTTGCTGTAGAGAAGCAAAGACGAGGAAATCTTCACATAAGATTTTTGTCTGCTAAAAGAAAATGAAAAGCCCAGACTTTACTGAACCAAATTAAAAATATTATTGATAGAAGAGGAGGAAACACATCCACGCAGCATGATTTAGTCCTGTTAAATCCTGGTTTAGACCTGTTTTAGTCCTGGTTTAGACCTGTTTTAGTCCTGGTTTAGTCCTGTTTTAGACCTGGTTTTAGTCCTGGTTTAGATCTAGTTTAGACCTGGTTTTAGTCCTGGTTTTAGATCTAGTTTAGACCTGGTTTAGATCTAGTTTAGTCCTGGTTTTAGTCCTGGTTTAGTCCTGGTTTAGATCTAGTTTAGATCTGGTTTTAGTCCTGGTTTTACCTGGTTTTAGTCCTGGTTTAGATCTGGTTTTAGTCTTGGTTTAGTCCTGTTTTAGACCTGGTTTTAGTCCTGGTTTAGATCTATATTAGATCTGGTTTTAGTCCTTGTTTAGTCCTGGTTTTAGTCCTGGTTTAGTCCTTGTTTAGACCTGGTTTAGATCTAGTTAAGACCTGGTTTTAGTCTTGGTTTAGTGTCCAGCAATGAGTGGAATTACCAAAAAAAAAAAAAAAAAAAAAAAAAGATATAGCCCAAATGTGAAAACAGGAAAATACCGCCATGTAATCCATTTATTTCAGCAAAGTAACTGAAATCCAATTACCACTCACTGAAACAGTAACTGTAACTGAATACAGTTACTCATAATTTGTACTCTGATTACGTAACTCCGGTACTTGTAATCTGTTACTCCGCAACACTGGCCATACACAGATGTGTGTAATGTAATGAGTATTCTTCCCAGGTTATTTACATTATCTACAGGCACAGTCATAGTCACGGTCATAAACAATTTTTAAACGTGCCACAAAAAGCGTACATCACAA